AGTTTGAACCTACAAGATTGAGACTAATCATGTATATTAGCTTGATGATAGATTATATGAAAGTTTTACCTCGCTTTTTTGCCTTTCTCAATCGCTTGTTTTCATGTTTATTGCAATGTCATTAATCTTGAGTCGGTGTATCTTGTTAAGGGTCTGCAACTAACAAGCTCGTCCTATGTTTGCTTGAATGGTTTGTGTCAGTATGGTTCCAAATACTCCTTTCTGGAAATACTTCTTTCTGATCTTCTTGGTGAAGATCAATAGTCTCATGGTCCTTATTGTCAAGATGAAGAGCTCAAAGAGTATGTGTTGATCACTATTAAATGACAAATTCACAACTTGGTTACATAGATCGTAGTATACACGAGGCTAGAGAATAAAGCATTCTCGAGTGATGACGACTCATCCTATGCTTTTTTTGCCAATGAACGTTTAAGTCAACAGACATACCGAAGGTGCTTAAGAAGTGAAAATGCACCTCCCATCTTTTACAATCAATATGAAGATCAAAGCTATGGTTCAGTTTCTCATTTGGTCTAAAAGAGAATGGAAACTGAACTCATCTGTGGAGGTTGTGGATGAGTTTGAGATATGAAAGCCAACGGGCTATAGATTTGAAGGAAGCCTTTCAGCTGAGGTGGTGATTGATGGCGTCAATAGTGTTCGAGATGTTCGATCGGGTCTTCCAATGAGTCGAAACAAACTTGATCTTTGAGGCGATTGAATAAGTTTGGGCTTCCGTAGGAGATCAGAAATTCAAAAAAGACTGAAAAGTCGAAAATCTGAAATCTGAAAACCAAAAACCGAAAACCGAAGTTTTGAAAAAACCGTGGCGGTCACTTCACGTCACGGCTTCCGTAATATCTTCAGAAGAAGAGTTTCAATCCTCATCAGAACCCGAATCAATCAGTGATCAGACACTCATCCAAAATTTGTTACCTCCTGCCATGTCAACAACAATTCCTCCAATCGGTACCACTACCGTCACTACTACCAATACTGCATTTGGTAGTAGGCGATTTCAAATAGCTTCTTCCATGGTTAATACTTTATCCAAAATTACAATCACGGAAAAGCTTAATGATACCAACTATCCAAATTGGTCATCCGAGATCTTATCCGGTATTCGATTCTTATCCTTTACATCTTTTCTATTATCTGATAAAGATGAAGAATCAACCGAAGCAGACATACAACTATTTAATAGTGTTGTTAGAGAATCATTAACAAATTGGATGTTATCAAAATTGGATCAAGCGAATAGAAATCGTTTTGAACCAGCTATCACTGTTGAAACGGCAATTGGTCCAGATATCTCATCCACTCCTAGTAAACTTTGGCTTAAAATTCGAGATCATCATTCACCACGAACTCCAGCACATCAAATGCTCCTTAGACGTCTTCTATTCAATTTAAATCAAGGTGATTCGCTACTACCCATTCACATGGACGAATTCAACCAATTGTACACAGCTTACACTAGTGCTGGTGGAAAGATCGGAAGTGTCGAACTTGGTCAACAGCTTCTTATGTCTTTAAATTCCGATTGGATGAAGGTAGCTGAAGATATCGCTGATAGCAACACCTTTGAATACGACGATGTAGTAACTGCACTTAAAGTTCGTATTACTAATAGAGCTATGTTGCACCCGACGAACCCTCCTGTGTTTCCAAACATTCAATCAAGTGCAGCCAGTTCTATGAGGAAACGTCAAGGGTATGTGCAAACTAGGTGCTCTCCTGGAAAATGCGTGTCATTAACGCACACTGAGGCCAACTGCATCAGAAACCCTAAAAATATTAACAAATACAAAGCATGGGTTGATGCGAAGAAGGCTAAAGGAGAGTGGATAGAAAGAGGTCCTACACCGAAAACATCTAACACTTCGACTTCATCATCAATTTCATCTACTCCATCTACTTCATCTATTTCTGTCACGTCCGAATAACCATCTCTACCGTCCCTTCAAGAAGCTTTGGATAGATCGGAGTTCTCGGCAAGCGCTAGTGCCGTATACATAGTCGACCCTAAAGCCACAATTGAAAACAAACATTTTGGTATAGTGGATAGCGGTACAACCCATCACATGTTCAAATCTGAAAAGTACTTCGATAAAGACAGCTTTCAGCCCTTGTTATCATCTAATCACCAAGTAGGTCTAGCGGGAGGATCCTCAACCTTAGAAATCAAAGGACGAGGAAATGTTACTATCTGTGGTCCAACTGGAGACATTGTAACTCTCACGGACTGTCTGTATGTACCGGCTCTCAATCAGAACCTCATTGCAGGAGGCCGATTGTTTTTCGAAGGATGGATAACGGAACGGCTATCTGATCAATCTTTCGTCATCAAGCGAGACGGTGCTACTGTCCTAGCCGGAAAGGTTCATCCAACCTCGATGCTCCTTCAACTCAATGCGGTGCGTACACCACCATCTGAACTCATTTCAACATCATCAGCCATAAACGACAATCTCACTGAATCTCTAACACTACTCCATCATAAATTAGGTCACCCGAATTATGCTTATCTGAAGCAAATGATCAAGGGAGATGTTGTGTTAGGGGTCCCTTTGTCGCTATCAAAACTTGTTCTTCCAATTTCTTTACCATGCAATTCATGTGATCTTTCTAAAGCCCATCGCCAGCCTCACTCCGAAACTCGCACAAGATCTTTACAACCGCTAGATAACATCCATATTGACTTGAGTGGTATTATGCGTACACCATCAATATGTCGAAGTCTGTATTTCATTCTCTTTACCGACGATCACACGTCTTTTCGACACATCACAGGCCTTAAATCAAAAGAGAAGGATGAAGTGTACAATGCCATTCATACTTACATATCCCTAGTTGAACGTCAGTGCGATAAGAAGGTCAAGTGTTTCACACTTGATGGTGGTGGAGAATTTCTAAATGATGTCCTCCTTCCTCGGCGTTCTTCCGCTAGCGAAGCGTTGAGTTCATTTAACTGCCTCTGGATATCTTCCATTGCTGCAGTTTCAGCTTCAACTGCAGTTTCAGCGTCAACGAAGTGATTATTCGCTTCGTTCTCGAGATCGACGTCGTCGTCTGACTCAGAGGATGTGTCGAATTGCGGGGTTTCGAAAGTAGGAGACGTGGTGGCGTTTTAGATCTCGATTCAGTAGATGGTTGATCGGTTTTACTGCGGGGTTTATCCGTTCGGTATGAGATGTAAGACAAGGTTTTGAAGATCCTAAGATAAGGTTTTCAAACTGGGGATTCGGGTGAGTTCTGAAGTTCTGATGTAATCTCTTCAAGGTTTCAATTCTAATTCTATTTTAAGGTTTTCAATTCTAATTCTAATCTATCTGGTTCGTTCTTTTCTTCGATCGGTGGTGTCTAGTTCTTTAGTTCCTCAGTGCTCGTCGGGAAGATCCGACAATATGTTATGACCGTCACAGGGGCTTGTCGGCAAGGGAGAGGAACAGGGTCCAAGGGGATTCCGGTAATGTAGTTAGATTGTCGGATGAGGACTCAAGCCATACAGGCCGTGTCCTCCAGATCATCATCCCCCTCTGTGACATGTAAGTACAAGTGTCACGTAAGTTACAACTGTAGGATCATAACATGAGAGACCAGTCTTAGAAGTCCCAGATGTGGCCACTGCACCTACTGAAGAAATTGGTTTTGATGTGGAACACAACCTTCAAGAGGTCAAAGATGGAGACTCAAATTTGTTTGATTTATTGGAGGCCTCTCTGACAGATTGCTCCCACAACAATGAGGAATATGAAGCAAACCTAATGCTCAATGGTGATGACACAGTTGCTCCAACTAACCAAACAGAGTCAAACAAGCTCAATTATATTTCAGAAAAGTCTTTGATTCATTGAGTTAAATTGTATTGGTTGTATAATACTGTTCATTATACTCATAATTTTTGTTTGTTGCAATCTCCAGCTTGAATTTGTCATACAACACATCATTCACTTCTCATCATGGCAACATGAATACAGTCAAGTGATGAAATTGTGTGGGTAATGGCTTGGTTCTCAGCTGATGCAAAGAGTGTCTGGCATGTGAAGTACTTCATTTGTCTTTTTTTTATCTCAATCCTCATGCTTTGCTTTACAGGTTTAACTGATCATACATGCAATTTATGTCTCATCTCAATAAATAATTGATCAGCTATTGAAGAAAGACCTGGAATGGGTACACTCCAGAACTTGCAGACCTCATAAGAACAGCAAAGCTTATGGCCATTTTCACCATTTTTGAGATTATCATCAGCCCATCCAGATAGGCCTCAACCCAGGAGCTCAATTCAGAACTGGAGGTAAGTGGTTTTACTTGGTCATCATTATATATCTCTTGTATCTTATACACCAATATCTAGCTCTTTTTTTCCAATCACCAAACATATGGAAGGGAATGTCTCACTGGCGCCATGGTTATCCCTCAACATGTTGACTTGTGCACAAAATTTGCACACACAAAAACAAAGTGATGCTCTTCACCAAATGTTGGCTGCCATGATTGCAAAGCTTCACAGACACCCAGATGAAGCCCTGGCCTGCAAGACTCTTGTGAAAGCGATAATTCTCCACCCAATTATTTGACTTAGCTTCTTGGAAATATTTTTCAAGAAGACCCCATCAACTGAAATCCATGCAGATTTAACTTTCAACAACCTGTTCAAATATTACCAACTTTAATCAACACAGAAGAAGCCCAGAATTTCTCCTGCAGAGGATCTATGCAGTTCCCACTTTAGAAAGTTTTGACCTGTACAGTGACAATGAAGAAGAAGAGGAGGACCTGGGAGATGATTCACAGGTACCCCATAGATTGCTTGAGAGGTGGTCTTTGGATGAAAGAATCACATTACAAATGTGGTAATCTAAAAGAAGGTCTTTGTTGGTGATGAGTGAGTCTAGTCTTGCTGGTCCCTGGTCACTTCAACCTCTATAACTACTTCAAAACGAGACCGCCATGCCTATCCTATAATATCATCAAACTCAAATCATTCCTGACTAAACAAGAATCAATTTTTTTAACAAATATTCAACCAATCCATCATCTTTTTGAAATGGCTGATGAATACGATGATTAGGATCTTCAACTTTTTGTTTGAAAGATAGCAAAGCTTGAATTTCTGCTTTGAAGCCCATTTCTAACATCGATGAAAGTTCATTCCTTCAAACAAATCATTGAATCTTTCAATTCCTTGTTTCAGATACCATCATGATGATGAAAAACTTACAACCATGATTGTGGTAAACCTTTTCGTGAGATCAATTGCTCTGCTTTAGATAGATCTGATTTGGTCAATGGTAATAACGAATGAGAATCTAGATCCAACCTATAACTCAAATAGACATAGATCAACCTCTTATCAGTAAACGTATTATGGATCTCCCATAAATCCTTCAAGTTCAACGCACTCTTTCCACTCTGAACATTTTAATCCGATCCATTCTATCTTCTCGACTGAGAGTCCAGTTTGGAATGACATCTTATGACTTCCAAATTTATAGACCGATAAAATATCAATCCCATGTGGATCACAGTCTACTAGTATATATATTGGTATATGATTTGACTTTTCTTCGGTCGATAAACGGTGAAGAAGTTGTCGGGTTGCTAAATCTGGGTAACCCTTTCCCTGAAGATATTGATGACAGATTTCGAGATTATTTATTTTTCTAGCTAGATAAATTTGATGAACTCATGTGCGTACCGTGATTAAGGCTGATTTTCCAAACCGGCGGTCATCCGGGAAACCAACACTCAAAAGTGAGGTAAAAACCGCCTATGATAGCCGAGACGATGTTGATGTAAGTGAACCGTCGTGGAAAGATAACTTTAGTGCAGACGCACTTCTTTCTCAACCACCAAAACAAATCGCACGTCTTCTTCAAGGATGATCTCACTTATGACTTCTGCAGCTGGAATCAGTGCAGGTATCTTGCTTGCTGATATGATTTGATCATCAGTGGTTTTGAGCTGGATATTACCACTTAACAGACCCTTGGATGAGGCAAACTGCATTAAAGTTAACATCAGCATCATTCCCAAGTATCACTTAGGAGGATATAAAGCTTACTGTGTGAAGCTCAGCACGACTGATTTCAAGAGTAGCTGCCAAGTCATCCACCAACTGTGAGAGGCATTGAAGTAAACAATCCTCGTCAAGCTTTTCATCTTTGATTGAGTATCACCAATTCAATGTACTGACGCGATCAACTTGGGTTTGCGTCTTAAACAAGTTAACATCTCGATAATATATTTCACTGCATATATAAAGGTCATATGGAATATTCACTCATCAAGAACTGCGTAAAATTGATTTCAGTGGAATGAAACGGACCGTTTGGTGACCGTAACATTTCTACTGATGGCATCATGAGTGATTTCCACAATTCGAAGTAACATAGCTGTAAAAGAGATGATTTCGAGGAAGTGCAAGTATCAGCCTAGATAGAAATCAAAGGTTTTCCTTGAAGTTGTGAGAGTACCCAATTCTTTAGCACCAGAACCGCTTTTAGAATTCTGAACTTTCTTTGGAAATGTTATTGTTCTGTTTTTTAATGCTACATGATTTCTGTGTGAGCCGGAATGTCAAGGCATACTGAACTTTTTGACGAGCACGCAAATGTTTAGGACTCGAGGAGCGCCAGCATACCCTGTAGTTGTTGATCCTCTTTTTAAGAATGGTAAAGAGATAGGTCGTATATCTCCCGTATTAACATTATGAATTTGTTCAATGACATTGAGCGCGAGCGATTCTAGCTTTCTGATGGTATTCAACCTAGTTTGAAGTCTACAGAAATCAGAAAATCAATCCGAGTAATCGAGTATGAATCAGTCATTGAGTACGTGATAATGGAATCGAAAGAATGATGAACACTTACAAGTCAGAATCCACTATCTCATCTTCAACATCAACTTCTTCCATCTTAATCATCTCATTTATGTCTTCTGGATTAGATGAATCAGATACGAGCCATTCATCAGATTCGTTGTCTGATAATGGTAAAATGTCTTCTTGCATATCATCCTGAGCGTTTTGAGTGGAAAAGTAGTCAGATTGATTCATTCTTGACCTTATATGGTCAGATGTAGAGAAATGGTAATCAAGCTCAAGATCATCTCATGACGAAAATATTTACTGATTCGTCATTTTCTTTTACCTGTTGACCAACTTCAATCACGCTATTGACATCATGATACATAAGAAAAATTACACATTAGGCATAAGTAACTCTTTTCTCACTTCACGATTTGCTTCTGATCAAATCTCTTATAAGGTGATTGAGACCTTGTCATTATAACAGAGTTTCCTAAAAGAAACTAAACGTTTAATTGAACTTCCTTATCAGCTTATCCCATCCAGGGGGTCGAGTTGAGTTCGTACAATGTTTTTGAAAAAAGGAAAAGACAATCAATCAAACTTTGCTTCGAGCCTTACATGTCTTTGGGGGTACAGTTTTCCTATCATCTTTTGGAAATGTTGTTTTCCCATCACCACATCTCCATATGAAGATTCCTTTAATGCTGTAGTCCTAAACATAAGGACCATCCAACAATTGAGCCGATTTATACATGCTATTGAACCAATTTTTGTTCTCTATCCCTTAAATCCAAGTAGCAAACCCAAAATATTTTTTTCATAAGAAACCAGATAAGTAAACTAATTATTTAAAACAAAACCAAAGGATTACTAAAAAACATTTGATAAAAAATTCAAATATATATATATATAGAACAAAAACTAGTTGATGTACAACACTTATTTTCAAGATACAAGATCTCAAGAAACACAATCTCTCCTTTTTTCTTTGCCCATCATTTTATGGTTTAGATTTATAACCATGGCATCCAAGATGGATGCATACTATATAATTTTGGTAAACTTGTAGCTGTATTGATCAATTCTGTTACAGTCTGACAAACGGGTTGTGGGTTATGTGGATCGATCTGAGGCAGAGAGAGAGAGTAAGATTTAGTATGTGTATTGAGTCTAGTTGTCCATATAAGGAATGGGCAAAGGGGAGTTCACTTACCGTCATTCTTTCCATTTCACAACTCAACAGTCGCGCTCGCTTGATCACGCTTTGTAAATTTTGTTTCACGGTCATCATCAATTTAGGATCATCAGGAGCTAATTTGATTTGTCGCATCATATTCCAGGCCACGATCTCATCACGGACAAAGATTGACAATCGGTGTTCGAGGTCCTCCTGAAAACGCATTGGACGACTTGATTGATAAGAATATTCAACATATAAGATTACAGGAGAGATTGTTCCTTACGTGATTATCTGTCAACGCTTGTCCTATTGCTATAATGCTTCCAGTCAGCAATCCTTCGATGTTCGGTCGTGTTAAGAATCTTTGAATGTTCGGAGTAAAGCGAAATGGAACCGGCTCAGGATTAGAGAATTCGGCTTGATCTTTTGATAAGGCTACAAAACGTCAGACCAAATAAGCCAAAGGTAAATAGTCGTTCAACTTTATTGAGGAAAGGTATGAAACGTATACGCACTTGGACACATATGTGTGGTGTGAATTTGACCAGAAGATCGATTGAAGTAAATACGGTTCGGCGTCCGCTCGCTCATACTAAAGATGTAAGTCATGAAGACAAAACTGGCAAATTCGATGGTTGCCCGTTTTCGGAAGTACCAAAGATCCCCTGCAGTCTTCATACTTCGTGACATGTACTATAAAAGTAGCAGGATTAATCATCATTTTAGTTCAAATCTAAAACCTTATATTGGGCGTCAGTAGCACGAAATACTGACGTTCTTCAATAGACAATCTGGTATCAGTTTGGCAGAAATTTCATCCGCTATCTCCAATTTAGTAGCAGTCGAATCCACTCCCTAGATCATCCAATTCAAGTTGGCAACAGTCGAATTTGAGATATTAGCGACGCGTAAACAATACAAAAGTTTATAAAGAAAGATACCCACATCGACTCGGTCAAATGCCAAAGATCTCATCCGCTCGACATAGGCTACGATCGGATCATCTTTAGCGAAGCCAGCTTCGGTACAATGTGCTTCGTATATGTCTTGAAGACTGCAATGAGCTGGATCGCTTTCCACGATCCGAACGTTTGCAGCAAATGGAACCACAACCGGAATGGTGAAAGATATATCACGACTTCGACTTGCTTTTTTACGTGAGAGAGGGCTGCAACCGAACCAGAGATCATTATCGTCAACGATATAGCTTGATAAGCTGATCCGCGACAGGATATTCTCACCAATTCAGCATACGGAAACACTGCATCACCCTTTCTTCCCTGCGACTCGCTCTTGGCAGCGGCAGTTGTATGATGAAAGTGTGTTTACTGGCGTCATGTCCAATCATAGTTATCCGTCGATGCCAAACATCCTTGTGTTTCTGAGCACCATATGTAGTCGAAAATCGCAGAATCTTCACAAAGTGGTTGTTGTTATCCTCGTTATATCGCTGAAGGTAAGGAAACATTGGTGTCAGCTATATCCATCACAAGTTCATATCGCACTGAAGATAATATACCTTGATATATTGACCAGGAACTTCGATCTCATCAAACTTCTGATATTGAAACTCGACCATCCAATGACTCGCGTTCTCAAGAGCTGATTTACGGAATTTCCTATCAAGATTGATCTCATACTTATTTCTCCATTCTTGCAATTTATGAACATAGGTCGGGATCGTCAGATTGCATTCGATAAATTCGCGATGGAACATAGGCTGTGAAGTGAGTCAATAATACGGAAATCATTTTCGTCAGCAGTCTCTCAGAAGCAAGGAAGAAACAAGGCTGACTTGTAAGGGCATCTTTGCTAAATTTTCTGATAATTTGGCCAATTGAGCTTTTGTCCCCTCAGGAAGATGCAAGTCATCATTCGTATCCTTTGCCCGTTCTACATACATCTAAAGAAGACATTGTGATGTTAGTGCTATCAGCAAGTCTCTAAATCATGCCAGGGACATACCGACAACGCGTCTTGAAGTAGCGCAGTGATTAGCTTATGGATCTCTTCTTCGGGAGTAGGTTTGAATCGTTGATATAGTTGATCGACGAGCATCTCCATAGATAAGGCCAAAAGTGGGAACTGAGTTTTCAAGGCGCCAAGAATTTCATCCACGTGCTCAAAGGCCATAGGAATAGCTATAGTGGCACTCGGTACATTGGTAGATGCGTAGATAGGGTTCGCAAGTCCCGCTACTTGTGGAGGTTGTCCTTCAACCGGTATTTGACCGCTGTGAACGTGTTGCATACTTTCAGATGGAATAGCTGGACTGGCTGCCATGGAAGCTCTTTGCGCATTGAGCACTCTCTGCCTCGTAACGCTCAGTTCATCGATCACAGTTCGGATGTGGAAAAATAGTGCCTGTGGAATTGGTCAGCATTGTTTAGTATTTCACAAAGATTGAATAAACATCTTACCTGTGGATGAGACTTGGCGATCTTAGTAAGCAGCGCTTTTGCATAACGAGCTTCACGCGGAGCCGAGAGACATGTGAGCAATTGAGGTATGAAATAAGCCCAGTGCCATATCGGTATGTCTCCTTTGAATGCCTCGAAAGCCTTTCCGATTGTCCCAGCCGCATCGTCCAAACTCAAAAGCCATAAGATTCTGATTAACAAACGTCTTACTTTACCGTTCTTGTATAAACCTGAAGCTTGAAGGTAGCAACTGACAGCACCAGCTGCCAGATGCATTGCATGGGGCTGCTCATCAAACAATCGATCCTGATAAGCTCCCCATTCTGCCCACGATTTCCCAAATTGAAACTCTGATCCGACAGCCTGATTGAATACCTTTTGCGCTTCCTCGTGAAGATTCAGACGGGCAAGGAACATAGCTTTGAGCGTATGGAATTCCGCTTTCTGACCAGCTGTAAAATACATCAGATTGGTGTTACTGATGGTCTCAAGACCGTGCGCCCATTCGGCTGGATGCTGGTAATGACATTTTCCCTGCTCCCGAAGTTTCAAGAATGCTTCTCGAATCTCGATATTAGGTAGCGTGTAAATCTTATTGAGAGAAGCGATACAAACAGCCTGTAATTGATGTTTGCGAGCCACATGAGCAAATTGGTTGATGATCCAAGCTGTCTCATGGTAGCCTCTAAAGGCGTACGATGCCGCATTAGCGCCTTGACTTTGTGAAACCAAGGGTATATAAGATCTATTGATAGCTGAGAAGACATGTTGACGCCACGCGACCAAATCGCTCCAGATATTGATATCATCCCAAGGATTGGGAAGACGTTCCCGCCAGGTGTTGAGAACATGTTTCAGATCGGCTGACCGGGTATCTAGATTTTGACTACTGGTCGTTTGTAAACTGGTAAAGATTTGAGCAGCTTCTTGAAGCTCGACAAATTGTTGAAAGGATTGCATCAATGGTATATGAGCCTCGGTCACGATTTCTGGAAGTTGGTACCATTGATGAAGCGCCAGCTGAATTGCCTCATCACAGAGACGCGTGAATTGTACTTTGTTCTCATCGAGTGTTACACCAGTATGATTCTTCATCAACGTAAGATATGCTTGAAGCGTGTTTTTTCGAATACTTTGCCCAGGTGTAGCATCGAGTGCCAGTTGTACGTTTGCATGCTCCGTATCCCAATCAGGTTGTCGCCACTGGCATTCAAGCAAGAGCTCGCTATTTTGTTCTGCTCTTGCTAAATCGCTCAAAAAGTCCCACTGCAAATATTGTAAGACTATCAGCTACCTGTTGTTCATCGAAGGGAACCTACGCATGATAGTATCAACATCAATTTAGGAAACTTTGACTCACCTGTTGCATTTTTTGAGCACATAGAACCCAATGATCCTCCCACAAGCTATATTCTCCTTTGCCGAATGTGATCAAATTTGAACGTGCTCTATCTTGTGCTTCTTCATACTTTTGTTTAAATGAAACACAAGTAATTCAAGAGGAGAGACCATGATCAATTGTAAGCGGGGCTGATGGCTTGAAATAGTAAAAAACGCTTACGGCTTGTTCAGCAAGTGTCCATTCTCCAATTTGCTCATAAGACATTGCTGCATTGGTTTCGACGCAAAGAGCTTTCCGTCGCCATTCTGAGCCATATCAATCAGTAGAGATAGTCAATCATGTCATTAGTCCTAAACTACGCATGAAAGCGATAAGGAAAGGTTGACTTACGGCCATAGAAAATGTCTGTCTCGCCCAATTCGGCGTACAGTTGAGCTAGCGCATCACTCACTGTCTCCCGAGTCACTTCGTCGTCAACCAACTCTTCTGACATTTCTTGAAGATGCTCAATAGCAATATGCCATGCTGAATATGTCTTAGCCAGATACCTAACAAGATGAGGTGGAAGAATTGGCGTAGGATTACAAGCACGTACACCGCCAAGTAAGATCTGCACAACATTAGGTCGTCTATCAACAGGTTTGATTAAGAATTCTTTGGAAAGTAAAGTGACTAAGAAACGAGAGATATCAGCTTGTTCTCGTTTCGAAAAGGTAGTCCAACTGGCTTGGAACAGTGAAATCCATATCTTTTCCGTTTCTATAGTATCGGCATAAAGAATTTGTTTGGCAGTTGTAATGATGTCTTTCAGCTTGATTGACTCGGCCCATTTCAAAAATCGAGACTCAGATCCGGTTGGTAAAGGCAATCGACCTGGTAAGAGAGCTGGTTGATCTGCATCAATAACACCCATGAACAAGTCAGTAGCGTGATGCATCCAATTGACCTCGGCGAGCGGTTCCCAATTCTGAACTCCGACCAAATAATGTAGTCTGAGAAATGGTTCTCGTCGAAGGCTGTTATCAAAGACCTCCATGAATTTCGTCCTTGTGATCGCATCACGACTACGACAGCCGAGTAAAAACGCAGGCTCGAGACGGACAGTAAATTCAGAACGGGCAAAGCTTGGAGACATATAGATATCCAGAATGAGTTGAAGATATTCGTTCAATAAGTCCTCGTCCCCCTTCATATCATAGCTCATTGTTTTCAAAAGCATAGTAGCTTTCTCTTTTGCCGTAGGTAAAGCGTCCTTGTTTTCAATCCATCGACGTTGCAGACGAAGTATATATCTACACAACCCTACACTAGGTGACTTCTCCACCAACTGAACCAAACCACTCAATAGCCACCTCCGCTGTTCATTCAAGTTCGCCACTCGAGTCTTCATCAGATCACAAAGACGCTCCAGTAAAGATCTAGTTTGTTCAACGATTTGGTGAGCACTATCAGTTTGTGCCACGGTCAGATGCTCTCGTATTGTGCGTGTAAAGACTCGAACTATTTCAGGAATGAAGGTATCGACTTTTGCTGGATTAGCTTGATCCCAAGCTTCGATGAGAGCTAATGCGGAGGTATAGTTTTCTAGCGCGCGTGTCTGAGTCTCCTTGAAACCGTCTTTGATGATGCGAGTTGCCCATTGTTCAAAGTTTGCTACGTCATTTTCAACCTGCTGCTCCTGCTCAGTGCATTCTTTGCTCTCTTTATTTTCAGCACTCGTATCTTTGACTGGCAAGACACTGAACAATCGATGTAAGAGATTACGCTGCATCTTGAGAATATCAGGTTGTTTAGCTGCTACCCCTTTCTCCACCAATGTCTGCATGATTGACAGATTATTTAGAAGCCATTCATCACTCTTGTTCGTCATGACAATATTGAAGATATCGGCTGTATTGCAGTAAGCCATAACTGTGGTGTCGATGATTTCATTCGTCAATGCTCGTTGGAAGAAATTCAATTTCACTTCAACTTCGGGCCAGACTTCAGTCAATATCAATTTCATCAATGTCAGAGATTTTGATACAAGTGAAGTTCTTGAGGCAGGTTCGTTTGTCGCAGTAATTATTCTGATCAGGATAGTGACAATGGCGTCTCGAATTGGGTAAGGGACCACATATACCCCGGGTCCTTGATCGGACCCAGCTATGGATGGTGCCGCGGAGCCTGGTCGCTCAAGCTTCAATCGCTTAGCTGTTGGAGGTCGATCTCGCTCGGTATCCACGGCCAAAGTGGTCCCAGCTTTCGATGTCGAAGTCGGATCAGCCATCCGAGTGTCTTCATCTTTGACCAATAACCCTTCAGCTCGTTGTTGTTCCCATCGTATGATCACCTCGACCATATCGACCACCAATGCACGCGTTTCTACATTGGCAGTACCACTGACTGCCATCCTTTGCATCGCAGCAGCAAATTGAGGTACAAGCATGTCTCGATAATTGTAAAACGGTTCAGGTTTTCTGACGATAGCGGAATACACATTTGACAAGACAGCAATGTTCTGTCCTTCTTCAATCAAAGTCTTGCGGATAAGTCGAACCCATTCAGTAGGGTTATCTTTATACTGTCTCGGAAGAGCCGGCAATAGGATATCCAATGCTTTACAAACCAAATGCTTGGCTTCACCGGTTTGAAGTTTGAGTAAACCAAGCAAGATTTGACTGACAATCTTGATGGGAGAGTCAAAAGCATCGAAGAACCTAGCAATCAAAATGTAAGCAGCGTTGGTCACCATCTGGTCATCTTTGCCACTCAGAAAACGCCATCCAAACTTGATAACCTCTTTTCGTTGTTCAGCAACCAGATGATGTCGATGTTCAAGAATTAAGTTGGCCATTTGCAGCATTTCAATGTTCAATCTATCGTCCGTGACAAAGGTCCTGCCGGTGAAATTAGGGAGAAATGCACTCCAGATGACGCGATGGACTTTGGTGATGTACTCGGCGTCTACGATCGATGCTTCCTTCTCACCTCGAGTAAACGCAAGTAGAAGCATTGGATTAATCACATGTCGCAAGATAGAAGTTTTGTGAGCGGGGGTAACATCTGCGTTGTTCACGATATCTAAGAATCGATTCAACACTGCTGCCTTGTATGGTAAGTCCGAGCTAGTCAAAACGTTTTCGTGGTAAAACCTGGTGATATAGCAATATTCGATGGATCTATCTCCACCAAGTACATCGGCCATATGGAACAAAAGATCAATGTTGGCCATAGGGTTAATCTTGATACAGGACATCATAATTTCTAATGAGATAGAATCTTCTTTCATTTGAGTTATTCGTGCATCAGTAATTGTGCCTGAGAGCCTCGACTTTCTAGCTTCTGATACCCATCGCTGACTGATCAAAAGTACAATGTCTACAGAATTTGCCGTAAAGTCCGGTTCTTTGATTGCCAATTGATGCAAAATAGTTGTAGCATGGTAACCACATGGATCATCGCGTGCAAAACTCTGTTGTAGCCAGTCGAGAGCTGTAGCTCTCAGATGGGCCCGGAATCTGGGAGCGTATTCACTAAGAAGAATGGATTTGAATGTCGAAACGTATCTCTCGTCGTCCAGGTGTTGAAAGAAGTGTCTAGCAGTTGATTCCGGGTATAAGTCGACATACAATCCTAAAGGTTTGGTAAACGGACTTGCTGTCACTTTCTTCAAAATCGTTTCTACATGCACCACATTAGAGACTAAATCGGTCAGGTATACCCCGGCGGCTGGACAGGCCAGAAGATGGAATATATTGACCGCCCCAGCCATGATCTCTAGCGTACCGCCTTCCTGAGATGACGCCAAAGTAGCAGCCGCAAGTGTAGACGGATCAGAAAGCTGTTTTACATGCTCAAGTAATTTGGAACCTATTTCAACTTTGAAATAGTTTGTGAGCAATTCAACTAATCGTGCTAATCCTCGAAGACTAGGTAAGGTGAGCTTTTTATGGTCCGAGAGATTATTAAGTACTGGACGCAAGCCATTCTGTAGGAGATCCTTTGGTAGTCTATTTCCTCCGTTAATCAACAGTTCCTTTAAGCTTGCATGGGCTGCATCGACAACCTGAGGGGTTTTGGCATAAAGCGATTGGAAGTAAATTGATAGAATCTTGGCTTTTGTATTAGGGTGATCCTTCATATCCGGAAGCCTTAGGCAGGCCGCTAAGAATCGTAAGCAAACCACCCTTAGCTCGATCAAAGCTTTAGAAGTCTTGGCTTGGTTGGTTCGTCCGATGAGAGCCAGATCATCAGCATCAGCAATCCCTACGGCTTCTTGTAGCAATCGGGTCATTTGATCGTTGTACTCGAATAGTGGAGGTTCTATCCGTATACAAAAAGTCAGAGCATCGAGATGCCCGATTTGCATGGGAAATGCCAAAGCTCGCAATGGTTTACCGAAGATCGGGATAAGTCGTTCGCGAGCAGGTAACAAGAGCTCGTAAATCGGTCTTGCTTTCTGTTCGCTAATGAGATGCAAAGCTGATTGTGCAACAGATCGTACACCACTGACTTGGCTACAGAGTTCGATGACTAATAACCCAATAAGATAAGGCAATTTACTCTTGGCGTCGTGCTTGTCGTCGTTTTCTGACGGAGCATTACAGATCTTCAAAAGCTTCAAGAACGTTTCAGTTGGACCTTGCAAGAATCTATCTGATGGGAATGGTGCATCCTTGTGAAGAAATAGTAGTGCCCGAACGATCTCCAACTCATGATCAAAGATCCACGACATTTCTAGGTCCAAGTTGTTTATTAGATGCAAAAGGATCTCATGACCGGCACATTTTCGAGGCCAAGAGTGATCGTAGCAAGACGAGCTGGCCTTCGAACACAGAGTACGTTTCGCTAGCAACATTACTTCGTCTCGGGGAGGTGGAGACTTCTTGGCTCTCTCAAAAAGTTCCTTGAGAACTTCCAGTGTGAACTGAGAAGCGGCTGAAAAATGTTGCTTATCGATCGCAGCAGTGAGGTTGTCTAACAGTGCATCCATAACCACGTTCGTGAGCGTCAAGGAGTACCTCATTCGTTCAAAGTGAGGTCCAGAAACATCTTGCCAGATTTCGGTCGTGAAGATATGCTCAAAGAGAAGTGACAGGTGCTGTCGTGCGTCGTCAGCTGAGTCCGCTACACGAGTTGCCTCAAATAAGCCCTTTAAAAGGGACATGAAGACCTCTTCTCTTTCGCCGAGACCATAACCCTGGGAAGGACAGACGCAAATGTTTTAGTTCGTCAACGTATTAGTATTGCATCTGAATGATACCAAGATAGCTTACCATGGTGAGAAAAATAGGCGTGACGTTCTTTAAAAACTCGAATGCATTGCGTCGGTAGTGAGGATCATTACGCTTCATCAACTTTGCAGCCAATTCGACAATCGGGGCTAGAGTAAGACTTCGCTCTTGACCGTTCAACTTGATAGGAAGGTAACATTCTGGACCGTTGATAGGTTTCCATTCGATCTGAGTCGGGCCTAGTATCCTTCGATTACGGCCGCCTAATTTCCCCAAGATACGCATAGCTGTAGGGGCATGTTGTGAGTTATATGGGACAGGTTTTAGTAGTCTCCATAAGGCCGCCATCACTTCATGCATAACTGGAGCCATCAGGGGATTGAGGAAATCTTGTGTGAGGTTGTCCACGCAAAGTTCCAGCGTACGAAGACCTTGAGAAATTAAATCCGGGACAGCTTGAAGCGCGATAACCAAGGGACGCATAAGATGAGTGAGGTAGGGCAAAAGTACACTCAACCTGACTGGTACCGTCAAACAGAGTTCCGCGAAAAGATCTCGCTCTTTGGGATCACTCGTGGCGTGAAGAAGTTTGTTCAACTCTTCCAGGAGAACTTGCAATAGCGGTAAAACTTCCTTGTAGAGAATCTCAAATCGGCCGCCACCGATTGACCGAAACAGTGCCCGTAAGACTGAATAATACTGGCCTGGTTCATTGCATTGAGAAGCCAATCTTAGTGACTCCATGATAAGCTCACTAAGGTGGGGTTGCAATATCAACTCATTATCTTGAAACAATGTGACAGCCATAAAGCACATTTTGAAAAGTCGGACCATAACCCCGGATTGTCTGTCTCTTCCAAGCTCGTCCAAGTGTTTCATAAGATATCTGAGAGTGATACCGATGAATGTTTTAGTCAGTACTGGGTTGGCAAGTAGGTATTGAGGGAAGGCCATGAGATCGGTGTTGTTGCGGAGTTCATTAACGATAGCTTCGATGTTGGGTTCGACAATTTCGGTGAATAGGATGAGATCAATTTGAGTAAAGATGTGAATGTAGGTGTCAACTATCTCTTTGACCTCCTTCAATTCACGTCGATAATCATATATAGTCAGGCATCGTAGGCCAGATATCAAGAACCGGCCTAAGAGTGCTGCATCGGGTAAGGGGGCCTCCATCTTCTTCAAATTATTGACGATAACGCTGAAGCTGGTGATACAAACCCGAATGATAGTACGTCGAGATTGCGAAATTTCTTAATATATGCACAAGTCGTTTCGAATCCCCACCATTTGCGGATGCGATCAGTCACACTTTTCCAGGTATATATTTACATAAGATGAACAGAAAGAAATGGATACCTTTGGATTGTTCTGGCGACGGCTCGACAATAGACATCACACACCCCAGCATTTTGATCCTTTCAATCATCATTCGGTCCAAATCACTTCGTTCCCTATCGTTCAGCGATGCCATTGCTCGATCATAATCCGTTATATCCGTCACATCTAGGTTGTCCTTCCGTTTGCCCTTGTCTTGCATCTTCATGAGCGCGTCCTTGGATGTCAAGTTGACCAGTTGTTGCTGACGTCGTGAATTTAAGGTTGCCAACTGACCTGTACGGGTTTCGGCCATTGCCTCTAATTTTCGAACAAAGCACTCAGTTAACCATTTACATATTCGAATAGCTTCTTGTGGTTCGAATCTATGCGAGCCAACATATTCGACCAGAGTTGATATCACTTTACTGGCCATAGCTTGTGTGGTACTGGTAGTAGTAGGATCGTGGAAGACGTTCATGAAGTCTATCAATACTGAATTGATTTGAACTGGCTTGAGGTCAGCCTTGGTGTGCTGAACAAGTTCGGCGATGGTGCTATATACTAGGTGCCGTAGGCTCTCGAAAGAGGTGACACCGGTTCCTATGAAGATGCGATGATCCAATAAGTCATTCAGGTACGGTAGAAAGTAAGACCGGTTGTCAGTCCCGAGAATATGACGGGCTGCGATGATCAGTTCGCGACGGGAAGGTGAGGATTCTGGTGGGATGTCTTTCAACATTCTGATTACGATCACCGGGATATCAGGCGCAAACGGTTGGACGACCGATGGTTGAGCCCTCAAAACATATGCTATGAATGACATGATCTAATCAACGAACAACAAACTGGTGAGTCTTGAACAGAATGGGGGGCCATGAAATTCCGCACCTTGACCTGTGCGACGACCAAATCATTGTAAGGCGTGCGTTTTCCGGCTTTGATAATTGCCGGAGCAATGCCAACAAACGGACCCTGCCCACGTTCGGCAATGATTTCATGCCATTGTACTTGTGGCAAAGGTGAAGTTTTCATAAACTAAAATATATCGGGAGTGAGAAGTACCAATCAAAAACACGGCTATGGCGTAATATGGATCAGATTTTACGAGACTTACTTTGAAGATCACTGGCAAGAAGCTTGCCAGAATATTCTGAACCATAACCTTGTAGGTTTGCAAAAGGAAGACGACCGCAACTGGACATTCCTGTAATGCTTTGAAAGATTTCATTCCGGGGATCACATCCGTTGAGCTTGATTCAGGGTTCGTGCCTCCAGGAGCATTTGGCGTCCCGGAGACTGCCCTCCTCATCGGATTTGTCTTTGTACCTTCGATCATGCTTTTGGGAGTAGAAACTTCAGCGGTCGCAGCTGGTCCCGAATCAGATGGGGATGATGTACATCCATCCGACTGCGTTGGATCCACTTTGACATCACCGAATATCTCCTCACAGGTTTGTGGCACCATGTCGTACATTTCGATGATCGTGCTGAAAAAAGGCGTCACAGTTGGCTCGAGAATGGTTTTGAAAGATCGATATAAATCAACACCAAGTTTGAAGCAGATGTTGACAGATTCGGCATTATCTGATCGGATGAGATGAATCAACAAGTTCATTACGGATAACGCGTGAGGCTTCATATGTTCATGCATCGGCATACGAGCTAGTATATCAAGGAGAAGATAACGAAATTTCTATTCATGGCAAAGAAAAACTCAATCTCGATGATTCACATGATATGAAGGATAATCGACTTGGACGCACATAATCGCAAGTAGTGTTCACAAATGCGGGTTTAGTGTGTAATAGGATCCCGACTGCAGCAGTGATGATGACCTCGAGATGTTTGCTGAATTCCATCTCTCTCTGATGAAGGTCGATCGTCTCCCGTAGCTCGATCGCCAAATGAATCTTGGTCTTCATATCTAGAACGGAAATCCAACAAAACTTATCACCGGGAGGCTCTTCGAAGGACAGTTGAGACGACATACCACCCGTGGGGTCTTTGAGCTTGAGGGCCAATGCCTCGAGTTCAGTGGGTCCGTAAACCGAGGTGGGGGTTCCAATGCTACTTGCATTCGCGCCTGAACCAGTATTCGGCCTACGTTGGTGACCAGGATTGGGCGGCCCAGCATGCGAGTCTTCAGAAGCTTGCCGATTAACCATATTGAAGAATGATGTAGCGCTCCCCTAGCACTCCTTGCCAGGACGCGTAGGCCTTTGGACGGCTGATCGATGAGCTACGTCTGGCGCCGCTTTCTGTTCGCGTGAACCACGATCAAGGTGAATATTGAGGACCGATCGAATCAGGGTGACAGAGAGTTGAATTTGAGGAAGAACACGTGCGGTGTTGACTGATATCGCGTTCAGTCTAGGTGATTTCGATGGTAATGAGAGATTGACTGTATGTATGCTAAGTCTCAGGATTTTAAGTTCTTGACTCTCTTTCCTTTCCACGTTGCTTGTTTGGATTTGATTGACTATGTTGTTCGAAAGTGAACTTGAACTTCATTCGCTTTCTTAATCTCGAGAAGTTGATATGTACGATGATGAGATCGAATGAGAAAATCGAAGAAGTGGTGTTTGTCGAAGACTTCCCTCAAGCTGATTGAACTTGAAGACTTAAAAGTCGATTGAAGGTTAGGTTTTGTCCTTAAAGAAAGACTGGTTGAATTTGACACCAACTTCAACTTTGGACCATTCATCCATTCATCGTTCATCATCCATCATCATGACTCTTATCATTCATACTTTTAAACAAATCAAAACATCACATCAATGCCATTCAAGATTCTTCACAAGTATCCTTCAAAGAACCATATCACATTCCACTCACCACAAAGAACCAAAATCAGAAATCAAAAACTCAAACACTACATTCACTGAATCACCAGTACATTCATCTCATTCTCAACAACCTACTCCGCTTCCTAGTTCAATTCGTGATGCATGGAAGGCTGGACTCAAAGGACAACATCCAAATCAATTCTCGCGGTTACGAAGTAAAAGCGTAACTCCAATTCAAATTCATTCAATCCCTCCTATCACTCAACACGAGCAAAATCAAAAACAGATGCCTATCAGTCCATCTGATGATCCTTCAATCTCCGATCAAACCTCCTCGTCTCCATCAACACCCAAACCATCATTATTACAAACCTACCTAAGTTGCGTTAATGTTCATTTTGATTCTCTAATCTCATCATAATCACCCATCAACTCTCATACAACCTTATCCGGTCCTGATTACTTTTGGTTTAGGTCTTGATAAACGATCTCAACGATATGTTTCAATTTCGATCTTCATTTGGGCATTTTCTGGATTCGCTTACTTTACTTGGTTCTCTGAACCTCCACCAATTGATCGTAGAATAGGAAAACTATGATTCTTTTTGAAACCAATCTTGTGCGAATTCGGATATCTCACTTTCTAGAGCTTATTACCCTCAGTGAGGACGGTTTTGAGGTCACCATATCAAATGTGAATGAGATAAGCCGGAAGAAAGGCAATCTCCGATATCACTAGCTTTTTCAGATTGAGGATATCGGGAGTACATATACAACAACCAGGGTTGAAAAGATCATAATCCCTTCTGTGACCTCAAGCTGTAGTGCATGATTTATTGTGCACCATCAGAATCTGCATTGATGTGTACATGAAGATATATACAGGAGGAGTCCTTGAATCAAAGCACCAAGAATAAGGCTACTCAAGAGATCTGTCCAAAACAATCTTTGCCCTTGTTCTATGCTCTGAGGCAGTCTCTTGGGGTTCATATCTTTGGCTTCAAACCCCAAGAGGTCTCTGTGCTCTGCCCTGTCCTGGAAATACTTTAGCAGCACAGCAATCTCCAAGAAGACAAACTGATGCCACAAAGGTAGTTGGCCAGAAAACTTCTGGAGACAAAAGAGAGCTATAATTTCTGTTCCTTTGATCTCTCTTGAAGAATGATCATCATTGTGCAAAAGAATCTCAGTAAAAGGATGCTATTGAAGAGTAGGAAAGACTTGATGAGTTATCTTTTGATATCCTTTTATCCTCTTTGTTTGCTATCATCTTTATAAACCCCTCCTTCAAGTACCAGCCCAAATATTGTATAAGATATTTACATATATCTGTGTAACCATCAAAGAAGATACTTGTAGTGTGTTCAAAGTCAAAAGAAATATGACATTCATACAATTAATCACACTTGGATTGGGCCTGTTGTGTCTTAGTAAGTAAAATATATTTTATAATTTACCTGAACATATCAACAGGTTTTCAAACTCCTCTTTGAAAAATGTGGCTCCTAAAACTCATCACATCCAAAAATGTGGCCCACAATGGCACTTGAGGGGGATTGGGTGAAAATCCTCTTGGGCTGGTTGCATGAATTTGTGTACAAACAACATGATGAAAAATAAGAAAATTCTTGTTAAAATGATATAAATTGATATGCACTGTACAAGTAAAGACCAGCTGTATCTCAAAACTTTCTACATAAACCTCTATTGAAGCTTGATCACACTTTAAAAGAGTGGTGATAATCCAACTTTGTGTGATGACAGCCATTGTGTCAAACATGAATTTCTTAGAAGCCAGTGATCATGGTGAGAGCTTCAATCAGTCTGTCAGTCCCATGATGGGTATTGGTGTGGGTATTGGTGTGGGTATTGGTGTGGGTATTGGTGTCACAGGGGGTGGAAGTCATATGTTGTACTAATTGAGTATAATGAGTTCATTCACAATTAAACAATCATGTCATAAGTAAGATGAGGTGTTTGAAAGTGATGATGAAGTGAAAAGGGTTTGAAATAGATAATTTTATTTTACTAACATAGTGGCAAAATAAATCTGCGCAGATATTAAGAAAGAAAAACACTAAGAACTACTAAACTCACCTATGAGCTCATTCACAATAATCAAACAATCATGCCATAAGTAAGATGAGGTGTTTGTAAGTGATGATGAAGTGAAAAGGGTTTGAAATAGATATTGAATCAAACCCTTTGAACTCATAGGTGGTGTTTTATAATAAAATAACAAAGCAAACAATACAGCTGAGAGCTAACACTCACACAAGAATAAAGAGTATCCAAAAACTCACGCACAGCATCAGGTTGTGGACACAGCACAAAAAACCCGCCTTAGGTGCGCCCAATGGCAAGCGCGCCTAGGCGTCAGAGAATTTGGGAAATTGGGGGTTGGCACTCACTTGGTGGGTGCGGCGCCAAAGGCAGGCCTTTTGAGCCCAAATTTGGGGTAGGCATGCCCAAGTTAGGTTTAGGTCTGTTCCTCCCAGTTGTTGTGTAAAATGGGTGCAACAGGGAAAGTTTTACCATCAGTTTCCAAACTTCCACAGACTCAAGAGCACAAGTCAGTTGCCACCAAGCTTCTAGAGATTGTACCTCATGCTGCTGGTGTTGAGAGTCTATTTTCGCGCATGGGTTCCTGGAAGACCAAGTTGTGTCCTTGAATGAATGTCTCAACTTTGAAGATGATCAGATTGGAATGGACCTTGAATCCAAGCAACCAAATCACATCTCAAAAGCAACCACAGTTCCTAATCAACCTGCTGCTGCCAAATGATACACAAGACCAAAATACTCAATTTGAAGATCTCAACCATGTTCAAGAGTTTAAAATGACATTTATTGTGAAAATGAAGCAGAGCATGAATACAAACAAGGGAATGAGACAGAAGATGGGTATATAGAAACACTTTTTGATGTAAAACTATTCAATACTCAAGTTGAAGCCCAAACACCCAATGCTATTATTTTACATGAAGAGTCTGAGAATGAGGATTGGGATGAGGATGAGCTTTTTAAAGATCTGGATAAATTTTCAAGTAAATCCTCCTTAGATTACTTCTACCAGCATTGTGAAATACAATCCTTGCACTTTTGATGTCTTTGCAAGTTTTTTTGACTGTTTGCAAGTTTTTTTTTGCTTAGCCAAAAAGTCACGCCCAGGCCTTCCCCAAATTCAAAATCTGTGCCCACCATGTGAGTTGGCATGCCTTTTCAAAAATTGCACCAAATCTAGGGAATCCTGTGTGCTGTCACCAATATTGGAGTTGTTGACATCAGCAGTAGGACTTGTATGCTGACTGGGAACTCCAAAGACATCTCTTGCTCACCTTTACATGGCAAAAGTGTTATGGTAGATGGCTCCAGCAACTTGAAAATCAGAAAAAAATTGACAAAAAACAACATCTTGGCTCTCAACAATTTTTGTTGAACAAGAATGTGCCTGGCGCACCTGGCGCCATGGTGCAAGAAGAAACAAAAAAAAATGCACCTCAGCGCACCTCCAAAAATATTAGCACACCCACAACCTGAACACAGCAACAGATCACATACAGATCACGACAACATATCCAATAGGGGCATTACAAACAATTACCACATAACATCCAACATTATTTGCCATAGTAACCAACAAGTAAATGGGGCAAACTTATCTCCAATCTGTCCAAAACATGCCACATCCATCAGCCAAAATGGAATTTCTGCATGTCTGACATCAAACCTCCAAGTCATGAACCTTGTATGCATGACCACTCTACAAAGGCATATTGCCATCAATATGGTTGGCTTTGTCAAATATAGATAGGATAACATGCCATGCTCATTCAGGGTTATCTGGGTACTTATGGCCCACATCTCAAAAGATAGTCTGATACATCTGCTAGCCAATCTCAGTGGTATACAATCATTACTTGAAAATATCAATTGAGCTGGCCAGTACAGGTCAGAGAGAGACTTAGTTAAGTTTGTAAAAGTCAACAGAAAACTAGCAGATCAATCTAGAGGGTAACCAACTTCAGACGTCATGCAATTTATAGGTAAATCTGTCAAAGGAATATGGGTCTTCCAAAGAAAATCCATGGTGACATTCATACACCCAGAAGAACTTTTGTGTAAAATCTAGGGAGAAAAAGAGGAGCTTCTCATAAAGTTGTGTCCAATGGAAAAAGCAATTTGCACCAGATGACGGGTTCCATCTGTGATCCATGACTTTGGTCAAGTATCCCATGTTTTGGATTGTATTTCCTCAAGTGTAAATTCTGATGCCATGTTTTTTGTATCCCAAGTTCCATCTGTTTTGAATCTGATGTGATGCAAGAAAGTGCAGAGGCCCATACATAATAGTATACTGGCAAGCTCAAAGTCATGCACTATATCATGTCCTTTCCAACCAAAGTGAGGTGTATATTGAAGGGCAGCTTAGAAGTGATTTCAAGGTCTTGAATTGCAGGTACTTGGCTCACAACAAACAGATGTTCATAGTACAAGAGCATAGCAACCCATTATACCTTCAAAGACAATTTTAAACACTTGAACAATATTTCTACCTTTACAATACATTCGCTCCTTTCACAGAACATGTATTACCATCTAGTTATACCAATGACAAAACTTGTACAATGATCAAAGAAACAAAATCTAAATAACCTTTTCCAAAATCCCTACAAAAAAAACATGATTCTAATGAAATTTCAATCTTGATTTTGATGATCAAGCGTTCAATGAAATCAAAAAAAAAACAATAACTAAATCTAACATTCTTGAAGTTCTTTATCAAAAGTTTTAAAACAAGTTTTCCAATGTTTAAGATTCCTAAGTTCTTCTAAAGATTCAATTCTTTCAAACCCTTGATCTTCTTTTGGTTTTCTTAATCCATCTTCATCAAATAAAACAGTCGATCCAAATCCAAATTGAACAGCTCCAATAATATTGATCAATGAATCATCTACAAAGACGTGTTTTGATTTATTGATGGATTTGATGGGTATTGATCCTGGATGTGAAAAGTTGTAGGATCTTGATATTGCTTCTTCATAGAATTCTGTTCGTAGTTTTGAAGAAGTTAAAGTAGAGGGGTAGATTGAAAAGTATACATGTAAAAGTGAGAATATCAGAGTATCAACATGGTTCAGATGCAAATCTTTCAACACCATTAAGAACACGATACCACCGATTCAATAATGACATCAAGCTCAATCACTCACCTTGCTCGGGCTTGCAATGGAAATTGGGACTCGTATAGTCACACGAAACGACACCTTCTATGAGATCTGAAACACCTAGAATCCTGAGAACACGAAGCGCATGTAACTTGAATGCATTGGTGATACACCAGACCTGAAATCAAGATCATCAGTATTATTACCCAGATATCATGATCTTGTGTAGTAAGACGGACCCTGGCTTTTGAGCGATCGATATCAAGTAATAAACGCCGCAAGGTGGGATTGGGTTCAAGGAGGTCTTCGAGCGGTAATGCTGAGTCACAACGTTGATCGTAATCGATTGGATCAATTTTGTGATGACGAATAAGGCCACGAATTGCTAAACCATATTCCTTGATATATATGTAACCATCGAATGATCTCGTCAATAAACGTGCTTGAAAGTTCACAGCAGGCAAATCGTTGAAATCTGCATACCGTATAATATCTGAACCACAGGATTAACCAGAAAATGAGTTAGTCATGACTTGGATGATTGTGAAGGTTATATCACATGTAATGTACGCAAGGAAAGAAATTAGACGCCGAGGCTGACTTTTTATGCAGGTTATTGGCTTCGTCCGTAGCCAAGCCAAGCTGAGAAAAGTATTCCTGAATCTTTTGGGTCATGGCTTCGTTGATTCCGCATCTATTAGAGTATAGGGTCTGAGGTAGGAATGAGCTCGTATCCATCTGATTGACAATACAGACCTGACCGAGGTGTGTAAGAACATACGTTGTCGATATCAAACCTGACGGCGATCAAGAAAGCATCCTGTTAGCAAGAGTTAATCTCGTTGAATGATATACCTACCATACTGTGGTCCTTTCATCATCCAAACTTGGTTCTTCCGGTTGCCCATTGGGAAACGTCAAATTGGCTAGGAAAGAATGAAAGCATTGTCAATGTAAGTTTGTATAATTGACCAAATGGCATTGATCGGGTGGGTGTAAAAGCTCACTTGAATGTGGTATCATCTTGGGGATGTATCTCGAGTGATGACGCGCAGTAAGTTGATGGTAGTAAGTAGCTCTCCTTCGATCAGCTTCGAAAGTCGAAAGTCGATAGGATGTGATTGGTAAGCTATGTTAAATGTGAATGGTAGTGATCCGGAGAAAGGGTGAGTGATGGTAGAGTCAACAATTGGTCAAACTGATCAGACTAAAACTCAAACTAACATTTTAACTCATCTCAACTTCACACACTCAGTATCCAAGTAGAACATACTTTATATCAAACAACCAATAGACACTCATCTCATAGTCTTGCTCCCTGTCTATGTCGCACAAGACTATCAACAAGTCTTCCATCTAACATGTGGTCTAATTAACTCTTACCAAATATTTGAAATATCTTTTGTTACAGGCTCAGAGGGTTCTTGCTCAGTCGGCCATAAGGTGGTTGGATTGTGAATCAGTTCTCAAGTGTTCCGAGGAATAGCTTTTCCGCACATCAACATCACACATCAATGGTCACGTTATGCCAACAGACGCAAGTTCAAGAGGCTCAGCGAAACTCAAAGAAGACAATCTGATGATCAGCAGATCTCTTCCATTCGGACCATCTGCTATGACATCATCAAGTAAATATGTAGTGATTTGAATCCTAGGTAATCCGGCAAAGTTGCCTATTATGTTCAACAAGAGAACATTACTAAGCCCACGTGATTGTTCAAAAAGTGGATATCCATCAAAAATGTATTGACCGACGATGAAGCCAATTCTCATTCAATTCTTACATGCCCCTTCGCAACTCCCATCACTCCGCCCTCATGATTCAATTCGGTTGGATATTCTATCTTGACATGGTGTCGATTTTCAATTGGACAAAGGGTATCCTTAAAATTGTTGAACGATGAATAGTGGTAGTAAGATGTACAGCCTGATTACTTCTTCTTGGCCTCTTTCCGCTTGATGATCTCTCCATTCAGATATATACCTTTACCGTCTGAAAAAAATGACCAAAAAGAAAGATATTTCATCAATGTCTCACCGAAACATATGCAGGAGATTTATCCTTGTACTAAACAGAAAGGGTATGAATCTTACTATAAGGTTCTGGTGGTCTCCATTTTCGAATAGAAGCTCCCAACAGTCCAAGTTCTTGTTTATCGATTCCTTTAATAATAATTTCCGTTGGACTAGGTAATTCACATCCCAAAAATGTATCTGTCTTTGGTAAATCGATAAGTACAGGGTGAGAATATCCAACCCTTAAATTTAAACAAGTATTATCTTTTTCCAATGAAGCTCGATATCCTACTCCTACCAACTTAAGTTCCGAACTAAATCCAGTTTGAACCCCATTCACTGCATTTGCCAATAAAGCTCGAGAAAGACCCCATGTACCTCTTTGCTTCTTTGCCCTTTCATCTTCAACTCCAACATTGATCGTGCCAGGTCCTTTGACTGTGTCAGTGGGTACTTGAGGAAGTTCAGAGTGATCTGCATTCGGGCTAACAAGTGGTGTCTTGGGAAGATCGGCCCCAATCACGTGAGTTTGTCCACCTTCGGTCGGCTCAAAAGATAATCGAACAAATGATGCTACATCGATGCTCAGTTTTCCAAGTGGACCAGTAACCGTTAGTTGAGGCTGTCCAACGGCAACAGAACTCCTTGATGTTCGTGGACGACGAGGATTACACATGCTGAGTGAAATTGTGGCCGGGATAGGAACCGGCTTAGAACCAATGTGTGATAGGCGAAGACAAGTAGAGCTGATTGTCCGCCTCTGGGCCGAGCGAGTCCAGAGAGGCGTGGTAGCCAGGCTTGTCCATATGTTCGAGGTGGACGCAAATGACATTGTTGGGTGGTCTTCGATCAAGGCTGATCAGGAAAATACGAAAAAGAAAATTAAAACAGTTGAATTGTAGTTCGGGATAGAACCGACCCGGTGACCATCTTCGAGTAGCCCGATATAATTTGAGCGGGCGGGTTGCAAGATCGAAAATAGTTCATCTTGTGCTGAACTCTGAGTCTCAGCTCATTTTTATTCAAGAGGGTAAATATTTTTTCATCACCCTTACGTAATCTTATGGAAAACACTTCCACTTATATGTTAGTCTTCATACCGCCCATCAAACCACGTTTTTAATCCCACTATGATTGGGTTAAGCAAACCATATTCAGCGCTGTTTCTCTAAAGATCTAAACAACATGATTTTTAAAGTAAAAACATTCCACTCTTTAATCAGATCATTTTCCCAGTAGGATCATTTAGTACACAATCCTATCAATAAATTATTAAGACACAGATACGCTACAAATTACATTTCCTACTTGAGGAATTTTCATAAACCTGTTTACAACTTCAAATTCAATTAAAACAAGTTCAACTTCTTAAAAATAAAAATAAAAAGCATACAAGAAAAAAATAATGATATACATTTAAATAAATAAAGAAATCTAAAGCGCTCATATAGCTGTACAACTATTTAATTGTTGTTGGATTTTATTTTGATAATTATTCTCGAAATAACTTCATGTGTACCTAACTAACATCCAACGCCCACTCTTTTTTTACGATCCAAGATGATCAATTTCGAGATTGTGATACATACTACTGTTAGTGTTTGGATTGTATTTTCTTGGTTTATTCAATTTTCACGTTCGCCCAAGTCTCCTCTTTTGATTTCTCATTCCTCTTCGTCCATGTTTTCTTTTCCGGACAAAACAAGAGATAATAAGTTAAAAGCAGAATTTGAGTAAATCGAAGTCAGTTTTTTACTTCAAATAAAATCGTTGAAAGAGTAAGAAAATCAATGTGGCTTTGTTCGCTGACCTTTTCAATGGCTTGATCAGCTCTATTGGATTTATTGGTATATTGTTGGTTGGCATCGATTGAGTTGTAGTCTTTGTATAGGTACTTGCCAAGTAAGATATCCCAGGTGGATATACTTGGGTGTTAGCTTGATCTCCTGAAGCGACACCTACGAGGCCACTGGACCCCCCTGTTGGACTAAGAACATTACTATCCGTAGATGGATCTCTTGCTAATCCCATTCTTCCTGGACGGATACTCGATATTCCACCCGAGGGAGTGTTTTCAAGAAACGAAGTGGACGAAGGGTTAAGCTGAGGCATTGATGCAGGGTTCATAGCTGGGGCGCTCTGCGTGGCGGGGAGGTTCACAATGTTGGGTGGTGCTGGATTAGAAATAATAGTTCCGCTGGGTGCTGATGTTTGTGGAACCGGTACAGACATGTTAATGGGAGGTCTAGCGTCAATGGGAGACGTGGATTGGACTTCACTCTTTGTTGAAGGTGATACAGTCGAGGAAGCTTGTGTGCCTCCTGAAACTTGGCCATCATTAGGAGATTTTGAATTCTGAATAGCACCAGGTGAGGCATCAGTAGGATTAGAAGGCACAGGAGTATTATCACTCGATGATGACGCTTGTTGAATTCCAGTAGTAATAGGAGGTACCTCAGCTGATGCAGGTAATGTGGATGGAGCGCTTTGTTGGGAGGAAACCGAGCCTTCACTATCGGCTGAAGTTCTTTGCCCGCCATTTTTTGTAGGAAAGTTTGACGGGTTGCCTCTGAGATGGGTCATTGAAGGTTGAGGAAGGCTTGTACCACTTCCTTCACCAGATGGTGATGATCTGACATTGCTGATGCCTACGACTGGAGAAGTGCTGCCGTTGTGTGTCTGATTTGGCGCAATGATAGTGATGTTGAACACAGGTTTCGTGGCTCCGGTCGCCTGAGTGAGATTGAAAACTAGGGGCGGTATGAGTCGGCCAAGGTCAGAAGAAGCACTACTACTATCAGATGGTGGGTTAGTTGTCCTTTGTGAATTTGGACCTGACGCTGAAGGGGTTAACGCATCGGTTAAAGTCTTAGACGGATTTCCATCATTACCAGAAGAACTGATTGTTTGACTTTCTGAAGAGATTGAAGCAGTGCGCGGCAAGGATGATGACGGCACGACATCGGGAGAAGATGAAGATGAAAGTTGCGTCTCCGTGGCTGCAACTACAGGAGCTTCAGACGATCCTAAGTTGATAGGGGGTCCTCGTTGGTTGCCATTTCTCACTGATGAGGAAGAATCTGATGAAGCTAAGGAGGCCGTCGATGACACAGTACCTGTTTTCCCAGAATTAGAAATAATTGACATGGGTGGAGTGGCCGTCTGTGGTAGAACTAAAACTGTACCCTGATTTTTGGGCGCTCGGAGTGTAGAATTTTCGTTGACTGTAAGACCAAGTAAATCGTGCTTGGTCTCCGGAGTATCTCGACTGATACCTTCTGCTGTCGGGATCTTGACAACCTGGGGCAATCTGTTAGTGGATGTTGAGTTGACTGCACTTTGAGAAGTTTGCTCTGGCTCAGGAGAAGTTTTCAGTTGGTTAGAATTGATGGATGCATCCTCACTAGTATCACCGGTATCACCAGCACTTAATTGTTCTGTAGGATTTGGTTCAGTGGATGGCGAGGATGATGATGGTACGGCAGGAGAATTTGAAGGTGCAGCTTGCGTCGCTTGCTCCGGCGCTGAAGCATTTTCCAAGTCGGGGAGAGGGTTAGACGCGTTTTCACCAGTATCCAAAGAACTTGTTGTTTGATTCTCTGGAGCAATTGGTTCAGTGGGCGGCGAGGATGATGATGGTACGGTGGGAGAATCTGAAGGTGGAGGTTGCGGCGTTTGCTGTGGCACTGAAGAGTTTTTCATTTCGGTGGGATTAATAGAATCAGTTGCACCGGTATCAGAAGAACCACTTGTTTGATTTTCTGAAGAATTTGATGCAGTGGGAGGTAAGGATGACGATGATCCGGCGGGAGGATCTGAAGGTATAGGTTGCGTCGCATTCTCTGATGCTGGAGAAGTTTCCACTTCGGTGGGATGGATAGAAGCATTTCCATTAGTATCAGTAGAACTGATTGTTCGACTTTCTGAAGAAATTGGTGCAGTAGGTGGCGAGGATGTTGATGATGTGGTGGAAGAATTTGAAGGTGAAGGTGACGTCTCCCCAGCTAGAAATACATGACCTCTGGATAGTCCTGGATTGGTGATTGAGGAGGACCCTGTTTGATTGCCGTTGTACACTGATGTAGATGAATTCGACCCCGAAGTCGATGCTATTGGAGGTAATGAGGGGGACGCGATGCTTGTGTTTCCAGAACTAGAGGGCATTGCCGTTGGTGGTAGCACGACGACTGGATTTTGATTTGTAGGAGCACGAAGAGTAGAGTTTTCGTTGACGGTCAGACCGAGTAAATTGTGTTTGGTTTCCGGCGTATCGCGACTAAGGTCTTCTGCCGTTGGAATCTTTACAACCTGGGGTAACTTGATCTCCGATGATGGCTTGGGTGAAGTTTCTGGCGCTGGAGAAGGTTCCACTTCCGCAGCAGTGATTGACATATTTGTGCTGGTATCAGAAGCAGACATAGTTTGATTTTCTGAAGAAATTGGCTCAGCGGGCGGCGGCGATGATGGTGGCATTGTTCCGGAAGAATCTGAAGGTGAAGATTGTGTCTCCCCAACTAGAAATACATGAGATCCAGATGGTTCTGAATTATCATCTGATGTGGATGAGTTTGTATCCGAAGAGCTTATAGTTCTATTTTCTGAAGGATTTGGTGCAGCGGGCGGCGAAGATGCTGATGACACGGTTCCGGGAGTCTCTGACGGTGGAGGCTCTGTGTCTCCGGAAGAAAGTGACTGAGCTCCAGACGCTCCTAAATTGTTATTTGATGTAGAGAAATTCGACGCTGGAGTGGATGCCACTGGAGGTAAGGAGGAGTACGCGATGCTCGTGTTTCCGGAACTAGAGGGCATTGCCGTTGATGGAGTGGCCGTCGGTGGTAGCACGACGACTGGGTTTTGACTTGTAGGAGCACGAAGAGTAGAGTTTTCGTTGACGGTCAGACCGAGTAAATTGTGTTTAGTTTCCGGCGTATCTCGGCCAAGGTCTTCTGCCATTGGAATCTTCACAACCTGGGGTACCTTGATATCTGATGATGAGTTGGATGGACTTTGAGAATCTTTCTCTGGCGCTGCAGAGATTTTCATTTCGGTGGAAGTGATAGGCGCTTTTTCACCAGTGTCAGAGGGAACCATTGTTTGATTTTCTGAAGAGGTTGCCTCAGTGGTTGGTGGCGATGGTATTGGTGTGGTCCCCGGAGAATCTGAAGGTGAAGGTTGTGTCGTGCCGGCTACAAATACATGAGCTCCGGGGACTCCTGAATTCTTAGCCAATGTCGAAGAATCTGAACCTGCACTCGGAGGCAGATAAGAGGACGCGATGCTTGTTTTCCCAGAGCTAGATGCCATACCCGCTGGTGGAGTAAACGTCGGCGGTAGCACGACAACTGGTTCTTGATTCATGGGTGCCCGAAGTGTAGAATTTTCATTGACAGTCAAACCGAGTAAATTGTGCTTGGTCTCTGGCGTATCACGGGCTAAGTCATTTGCTGTTGGAATCTTCACAACTTGGGGTGACCCTGAGACGCTATGGTACGCCAATGTTGACCAAGAGAAGACGAAGATGATTGAACTCGATCGCATCAAGCGCGCGAGATGGGATGAGGCGCTGCCACGAGTTGAAAAGTATTGGGATGGATTTCATGAGTTAAAGGAACGCTTTGCTATGATTTCGAAAGTAAGTTCTCGTTAGCGATACGTTCTAAGCTGAAAGACTTTGAAAGTCACTTACGATTGTGAAGAGTTCTGCAAGCACTCATAGTTGACGCCTTTGGTAAAGAATAAGGATCCTAAATAAAACCTTTTGTTTTGTTGAAGATGTTGTGAACGGAACACGAGCCGACGAGGTTACCCCAGTGGTTTGCCATGGTCATCAAAAAAATATCAGCCCAATATCCTTCTTCAATCAATAATTTGGCATGCAGTTATCAGTTTGGACTGATCAATTATAACTCTCCATATACGGCGCCGGGCGGAAGCTACGTTTCAGTAACGCGGGCGCGACCCCAAGATTTCCTTCTCTCCAAAAGAATTGTTAGAAAGCAGGATCTTGACCATCATCCATAATGACGCTCGCCACAACTTCTGTCTTTTGCGCACCTATGTTGCGCTTCCTCTTGACGTATAGCGCTTGGTCACGCTTCCTTCATGGTCTTACTTTTGGCGATCAACTCATACTAACAACATGTGAGTGGCGTACAAGAGGTTTTATTTTTCGCATTGATCCGACGATAAATCTCAAGGACGACAACAGAGAACATACACAACGAAAACACTTAATCATACACAACGAAAACATTTGAACATCGCAAAGTGAAAAGTTCATATACATACCTTGTCATACTTGGACGACAGAATCCGAATTTAATTCCTTAATCATTTCTGTCTTGGCAAAAGACCGACTTGCAGATCAACTAATAATTTCATCAAAACCTTCCAAGGATGATTTCCTCTTCCAATTCTTATCGAATAGAACTTGAAGCCATCAATAAATGTCCTCACAGTGTCAAGACCCAACCTCAACCAATCGCATAAATTAAACCCAGAACTCACACAAACGGTACCTCAACCAAAAAAACCATACTAAATCTTTCGAACCTTTCTTACGTTTCATTCATACAACTCTAACCTTACAAAGTCCACAAAAGATAACCAATAAAAAGCAGAAAAAAGAGAGAAAAAAGACGTTGCAAGAGAAACCAATTAAGTCAGAAAGAAAAAAGAACAAGGAAAACCCACAAGAAACTTTGAAATCTAAAATTCGAAAAAAAGAAAACCAAAAAAAAAAGCAGAGAGAAACAGATGCATAATTCTACATTTTTCAAAATTAAAATCATTAAAAAATTCAATTCATTACACATTTCTTTTCTTACAAAAAATTAAAAATCATTAAAAACCCATTCATTATTTAACTACCAATCAGTCACCAAAGTAAGAAAGTAAGAAAGAGAAAGAGAAAAAAAATCACTTTTCTTCATGTATACTATTCCTATGATGTACTACTACTTAACAAGGAACTTCCGCTTCTTCTTCTTCTTCATCCCAAAACCTAGATTGAGGATACTGACTCAGTTGACAAGCAGCAGCGTCCACAAACCAAACGATTGGACGTTTATCAGTTTTCAACAAAGCAGCCGGATTAATTCGATCTTCTTCCATAGGTACATCCGATTCAATACTCCGATTCAATGCATCAGCCAGAACGATCGATCGATCTTCTCCAATCCCAATCAATCCAATCTGATGTGATGAATTTAATAAAGGTAAAGTAAAAGTGATTCGATGACTAGGTTGAATGGGTGAATCTCCTAACCATGCTACATACCAATTCGATTCACCTAATAATGGATGGTTTGGTAAAAGACTTCCGATATGTCCATCTTGTCCTAATGCTAGTAAAACTAAATCAAACTTGGGTTTGATCAATTGACTTTCATCTTCTGCTTCCATATCTGCTTCTGGAAACACTTTCAATAAATCTTGTTCATATATATCAGCAAGTTCATCGGTCATTCGATCAGATCCATCAATCGTTTTAATCGCTTCTTCAATTTGAGCTTCTGATAATCGATTGATAGTATGTACTTGTTCGATCGGAATCGGTACATGTTTCAATATAGCTTCATGAAATTGACAGAACGTTGACTCGGGTGAATGAATCGATACAAGGGCTTCATCCACAAAGAATACCTCCCTAAACACCACAAATTTCAAAGATGTTCAACATTCAAAGCATTTCCTTCGAGAATTGACTTATGACTCATTTCCTTCTAGAATTGACTTATGACTTACCAATGCTCCCATTGCATGCGATCATCAGTAACAATTCCAGCTCCAACGATTTGTGATAACGATCCGCCACTAAGGGCAATCCTAAACCGACTTTGTCGTTGAAAAGCAGCCTCTTGTGCTTCAAAGACCTTTTTAACACACGTTTTCGTTTAGTTTATACTATTCATAAGTGCTTCAAACCTGAATTCGCAAAAGACTCACAAATTGAGCAACTGCCTCGCTAATCTCTTCTTCATCAGCAAATGGGAATAAAATCGGTGGTGGTGGTGGTGGCATTGCAGTCAAGCCAATCTGAGAATTCACCAGAGAAAGAATCAGTTTAAAGCTTCATGGAGCTTCATTTCAAACACAAAATCTGTCAAAGGCTAACCTGTTCAACGGGTATCTGTGTCAAGAGGGCCTCACTAGCATCTCTGTGTGCTAAAATATCTTCTTCATCATTCAAATCACCACCCGATGCACCTTGAATCGGTTCAGTAGGGTCGAGAGATGGTTCTACTTCGTGTGGTCTGATTCCCGAGTCTACGAGTGGTATGAGTTCCTGTGTCCAATCCTTGACACTGTCTCCATTCTCACTGGTTCCCATGGGCGTAGATAAAGAGTGTCCAGTGAGAGCTCGTAACCGATCTAAATCGAAATCAACAAGATTACCAGTCCCTGAGTGCGAGTCATTATCATCATCTGATTGCGTCTGATTGAGGATAAAGAAATATCAGCCTGTGGATATGAAGAACCTTGAGAGGAATAACAACAACCTACCTCTGGATTTGGAATTTGGTCGTGAAGTGCTGTGAAACAATTCATTTAATAAAAGTACATACGGTAAGAAAAGGTTTTCAATATTCGACTCACCACTTGCACCAATAGTCCTCAACATCGGTGAAACCTCTGGACTATTACTCAGAGTTGCACCTAAAGGTGGCGTAGGTGAAGTCCTTAACCATGACATTCGATGTGAAGCAGTAAGCGAAAGACGATGATTTTCATCTGTGATAGGTTGTCGTTTAGCTGATACTAATGGTCCTACTTGATCAGTAGAAATTGCATAGATGGGTGACGTACTACCCGCTGAAGATGGGCCAGCGGAGTGTGGCACACTTGTAGGTTGTAAAAGGAGCGGTGGTACATCGCCATTCGTTCTTGTTTCTTCTTCCTCTTTGGCAACTGACGTTGATTCTGTTGACTCTGATGGAAGTTTCGAATCTTCGCCTACAGTCTGATCAGATGCATCGAGTGCTTTTTTGCTTGATACGTCAACCGGTGAAGACTTGACGCTTCCCTCTGAGGCCGACTCGGGGATATGATGAAATTGAGCGATCGAAGGTGAAATGATACTCGCTTCTGATAATTTGGTGACCATACATTGGTTATCAGCCTCAAGCAGCGCCTGACCTTGCCTGCTCCCTTCTTCTACTGATGGAGCATATTCCAAGAACTGCTTCTCAGGAAAAGACTCGGAAGTAGGTGAAAGCCTTAAGCGCCCCATCAGATCCGCTGATGGTAATCTATCTGGCGAGCAAGGTTCGAAATCTAAATCTTGTGGTTCATCGTTTTCCTCCTTCACCTCCATAGCTTCACTTTCTTCTGAACCTTCGTGAGTCTTGTGAAATTCAGCAATCGATGGTGTAATATCGGAGATTTCTTTCAAAGGGATTTGTTTGATTTCGTCATCTGCCAAGACCAATGAGCTTCGTGTACAATATTCAGACGTGAAATCAGAATGATGTGCTGGAGATTGAGGTTGTTCAGGAACACTATTCAAGTCTGCTAATTCATCAGCCTGCATCTGATCCGTGCTACGCTCAGGTGTTTCACAATTATCGATAGTACCGAAGAGAGACGGACAAGCCGGCTTCGGTGTGGTCTCTGAGACCGGACTTGAGGACCGATGGGAGGCCTCATCTGCCGTCAAAGAAGCTTCTGGTCTCTCATGATAATCTACGATCGAGGGACTCATGATACTAGCATCCGCTAAAGAAACCACCTTGATCGAATCATCATGCTCCATCAGATGAGGCTCAGATTCAAGATCTTCATGTTGATGGTCTTTAGAGATAGATTGAAAAGCTGCAGCCTGAGATTCAATGAATCCACATTTGATCATTCCCGTCGTCGGGCTATGAATCATTCGGTCCATCAAATCAGCGGAAGGAAGTCGGTCTGGAGAACGCGGACTAGATACAGATTCGTTGTCCGTAAGGTGCATAGGAGTAACATCACTCGAATATGCAGTTGAAGAGACAGCGCATGTGTTCTGGGAAGACGAATCGTGTAATGTGGACTCTGGTAACCCGCGCGATTCCTCGCTCTGGTCATGAGAACTTGAATCACCATAGAATGATGCGCCGAGGGTCGAGGCTTGTGTGGTCCCGCCGATCGGGATTAGTGATTCAGATGTGAAGCCAAGAGAGGTGATTCCACTTCTTTGACTGTAAGGCACCGACGGTGAGATGGGTCTAGGATGAACCGATAAGGATGATGACGTCGTCGTCGGATAGAAGAAATCAGGTAAGTATGACTGCTGGACTACTACCGGACTCGCATGCAACTGTGGCTTTGCTACAGGCTTAATTTCGATCGGATTTTCACTTCTACCATAGAAAGAAGGACTAAGCGTAGAAGATTGCATTTGTAAGCCTATTGGAACGTGCTCCATGTGGGAAGACGGACTAGTATCACGTGAGCGTTGATTGGAGGATGCTGCAGGGTTCAGGCTTTTGTCAGAAGAGGAAGTGAGATGTGTTGGATGAGCATTGTGAAATAATTCCGATAGATTAGACTGATGAACATCTAGTGGACTCTGAACAAATAGAGTCGATGGTTGAGTCCTGTGATCAATTTCGGATGGTTGTTGCTCTAGGTTCGAGAGTAGGATAGGAAACTGTTCTGTCGACGGTGATTGATAAGCAACGGCCTTGTTGGACTTTGGCAAAAGCGTGTGGACCGGAGTAGGAACATGTCGAGGGATCTGTATTGTATATGTAGCAAAGGAAAGAGTCAGATATTGGGTCATAGTGGCGGAAAGAGATATGTAGTACGCACCTGTTTCTCTTCAACATCAATGATCCCTATAGGTAGAATCATTCGTCTTCAGGGTTGTGTTCTACAGATCTTGAAGACGCGGGAACAGGGCTCACCTCTTTCTTGTACGATAGACAATGATGGTCTATTTTCGGGCTTGTCCATGGGGCTCGTAGTGATAGGATATATGACCATTGAAGGGTACAATGCCGGGTATACTTGATAGAGATTGTTAGGATAATTCATCGTGTCATGACCATTAAAATGGCGCGAGGCCAGTTCTGGCCTTGATAAATCTACATCGATCCGGACAGTGCTTGATGGCGAAGGCTTCATATCCTCGACGGAACTGGAGCGAGAAAGACTTCTAACAATTCCATCCGATTGTGATTGTGTAGATACTGAAAAGGGTACGATTGTCATCAATGGGAATACTGGAAGCCGAAGTAAATGCGTGAAAAATAAAAAGGACAATCAAACGTACTAGATAAGTCATCCGGAACGCTGGCCGACGGATAAGTTTCCGGCGAACTGATCACAACAGGAGAAGAATCCCTAGAATGAAACGAACTAGATTGACCATCATGACTACTACTAGTACTAGTTGATGAAACAGCTTGATGAACGATCTGTAAGAAAGACGGATAAATCGAATTACAGTCGAGATTAGGATAGATTGAAGGATAGATTTGTAAATTGTGAGGATAGTCTAGGGTTTGGTTGATCACCTTCATCGATCTAGAGTTTGAAGTTGAAGAGTCCGTAGAAATGCTAGATGTCCTCTCATTCGCTGGCACATCATTCAATGGAATTTTTTCATCAACTTCGTCGAGTCCGCGGTGAACCGAGACTTGCTCTTCGATCTGTGAATGAGGAAGAGGTAGAGGTAAAGTAGGTAAGTCAAAAGCTGAGGAAAGTCTAGATCCATGCTTGCTCGATTCGGTGATCGAAGGGTGAGTTTCAGGTTCAAAAACATTTGACTTTGTCCTTACCATCGGTGAAGGGTCCAATTTTCTTTCAGTGCCAGAGGATCCCATGTTACGCTCATCTGTTTGCTGCTTCTGTTCATGATTAGATTTCGATCGTAAGACGTTAGGTAACATAGGCATATAGATGGTATCTTGTATATAAGGGTATAAAGCGGGATAAACCCTCAAGTTGTAAGGATAGAAGTTATTTCTTACAAAGTCTGTATCTATAGAAAGCGTAATAGATACGGAATGATCGATGGTGGTGTCAATGGGCTCCTCAACCGAGTTTGAAGTTGAATGTCGATGAGATCCATATCCCTCTTGATCCAAGTGATCATTTCCCGAGTCACCTGATTTATTTAAGTGCGAATCTTTTAGACTTCCTCCAGCTGAACCTGTTGAAAACTTTAAGCTGCTATCAACCTGCAATAAATTAAGTGTAAGGTATGGTCGGTCAATCATAGAAGGTAAACGTGTAGGATAGATCATGCCTTCAAAGCTAGGATAAACAGGCGGATAGACAAGTAAATTGAATGGATATCGATCGAGTCTTACAGATTCGGTTTTGGTAGAATGCGTGCCAGTTGAGGATCCGGTTCGACTAGACGAAGTAGTACCAACGGTCTGAACAGAAGACCGGCTCTTGTAAAAGGCTTGTGGATAACTTCCACCGTTCGCGGCAGCTGTATCCACAAACCATGATACCGGACCATCTGCGAGTTTCACCAGGCTAGCTGGTTGAGACGGCGAAGGTTTCTGTGTGAGTACATCAGCAAGCATTTTTTGTTTACCGGACCCTGTGCAGACAAAAGCTAGCTTATGAGCACAATTGAGTACGGGAAGACTGAGAGTGATTCGATGGGGCGGAAGCTTGGGACTATCGTTAAGCCACGTAACGATGGTATTAGAGTCTAGGAGGGGATGATGCGGGAATAAAGAGCATGTATGTCCGTCATCACCCATACCAAGGAGGATCAAGTCAAAACGTGGATGATCCGGCTCAGGGCGGATTTCGTCAAGTATTTGAGCTTCATAAATCGAAGCAATGTCCGGTGATATTTCGTCCAAGTCCATACCATCAGGTGGAAGTCCCATGATAGTAGTAATCTGACTTCGCTCGATGGGGACTTTCGAAAAGAGAGTATCCATACAAGCTGCAAAATTGGAGTCTGGATGATCAAGTGGAACCACTCGTTCATCTGCAAAGAATACTTTCCTACAAGGATGATGAAACATATCAAAATCAGATGTGATCAATTGTAAGAAAGAAAAAAGCTCACCATGTTTCCCATTTGACCCCAGTCTTGTTGAGTAAACCAGAAGCCATCAGCTTAGGCAAGCTCCCGCCCGATAAAGCCACAACAAACTTCTGATGACGAGCTAGAGCATCATCTTGTGCCTGGACAATGAAATCTGCGAGATCTTCAGAAAGCCTATCATTACTCTTGTAAGAATACAAAATCGGAGCCAATGGATCTGTAGGTTTAGTTTTTGATGGATTCTGTCGAGGCGCGTAAGAGTGAAAAAAATGGACAAGATGTTAGTACTCAAGAAAGGTTTTGGAGTGAAAGTTGGATTAGGATCATGTAGCGAGGAATGAATTGGTTAAATACCTCGTCGACCAATGGTACAGGTGGAATGATAGAATCAGATGTCAGTATAGATGACATGCTGGACCGCGAGCGAGGTTTATGTAAAGACAACGGTGGTGAGAAAGTGGGAGAGTGTGCTTCATCAAAAGCCTTCGCTAGCATCATGACCTTTGATCTTGTAGGAGCTGGAGGTGGTTCACGTGGACTCTCTTTAACGACTAATGATCGAACTGACTGACTAGAAGGCGATGAGGGCCGGGTATTGGTTGGGGCTATTGTTGTCGATTGGGTTACGTCTGGCGTCTTAGCATTTTCCTGTACCAAGCGGTTCATTTCTGCAATAATCTTTTGAGCATCCTCTTCGTCTTTAGAAGCTTGTGACTGTCTTCTGGAAAAGAGGTGTTCGCCCGAGAATCGGCGGATAGAGGAAGCAGCAGAAGAAATCGAACTTCTCCGTAGTAGATTGAATGAACGAGGGGCTGGGGCGTTGGTCTCGGCCTCTGCTTGCGTTGTAGTAGAGGCATTGGCCGGATCAGCGTTGTTGTGGAGTCCCATAGACACGGGCCCATCCATTCCAGCTTTCGATCCTTCTTCTTCAATCCTTTTGATAGAGTTCACGCTTTGAGTCTGAGATTTTGCTGAAGCTTTTGCAGCTTCGGCTTGCTCTTTAAGTTGTTTTGCCTTGAGTTGTTCCAACTCCTCCAATGCCCGCTGTTCAGCTTCTCTACGTTCTCTTTCAGCCAATTCAATGACCTTTTGCCTCTCCTCTGCTTCAAGCTTCAATTGAGCTGCAATTCTTTCTTGTTCGACTAGTTCTGCTTGTTTCTTCGCCTCAGCCTCGGCTCTTTGTCTCTCTAGTCTGCTTTCCTCCGCTTCAATCCGCTCGGCCTCGGCAGCTTCCATGGCTTCTAAGATCTGACGTTGAGCTTCCTCCGAAACAGAACTGTGTTCCTCCTCTAATTGAGATTGAGAAATCGGATGTGATCCTGTTGAGAGGGACGTAGAGATCGATCTTGTGTCGGTATCCTGTTCATCGACGTTGTACAATTTCGAATCAGATCGAGGAATGGTAGGTGGAAGTTGTTGATCATGATGAGAGGAGGATGACAACATCTCTCTCTGTTCTTCAACTTGAGCTGTTTCGGCCGTATGGCTTCTGCAACTTTGATCTCCGCTGCTAGTCTCTGATCCACTTCCACTCTTGGGTCGATAATGATTAGGTTCGTTCATCGGAGTCTGATCATCTTCTTCAATTGCCCGTACATCGTGATCAAAAATATTGTCTTCTTCAATTTTTTCGAGTTTGCCAACATCATTAGTACCTTGTTGCGTCGAGTTGATTTCTGGGTTCTGATCATGACTATAAATCTCCTCCGGTGACGATTGCTGTGGTTGTGTAGCACTACTAGCAGATTGAAGACTTCTCGAGCTATCTTCTTCCCCATCGATCGTCTTTTGGTCATCTGATGAGGTCACTATCAAATTTCTTAAACTCAATCTAGGATCTCCTCCAGATGAGAGCGTATTACTACGAGAACCAGTGATTGTATGTGATCCTGTGGCATCACTTCCTCTTCTGGAAGTCTGAGATGAGAGATGAAGACTTTTGGGTGGGTCTCGACTAAGAGCGAGAGAGTTACGATGACCATTCGGCAAAAATGAGGAAGTTGATAATTGAGACTGTGTTTGCTGTTGAGGAGCACTAGCCCAACCTTCGTACCACCTTGCCTTGCGAAGGTCAATATCAAACTCGAGTCGGGCAGCCACGGCTAGATCAAACGTCAGAAAATCGGAAAAATAGTTAATAAGTCATGTGTTTATATGCATGGAACATCAAGGAATGAACTAACGAAGACCAAGAGAGCTGAGAAGTCCAGTAGGTGGATGACTGTAATGAGAAGGTAAATTTGAAACTTGGTCATCAAAGGCCCATCCAAACAAAACTAGCCAAGTATCATCTGTGATTCGAGGAGCTCCTGTAGAATGATTGTCGATGTTAAGATGAAGTGTTAAACCACCAGTTGAAGGAAGTGAAAACTCCCGAGCGATCGAAGCCAACTGTAAGGTAAGCTATATTTTAAAAAAAACCAATTGAATCAAAGTTGTTTTTCGGGATGATTAGGCAAATGAAAGTAGACGAACCGTAGGCTGTAAAGGGATCAAGATTCCTCCAGAGTAACGACCTGGTGCACCATAGCCATGAGCAAATCCCGATACCTGAGCCGGAGGAGGAGAATGAGGTAGACATGCAGGTGGTAGAATGATCACAGTCCAACGAGTACTACGTTTAGGGTTAGGTGAAGAAGAAGTGAGATGACGAGTTAGATTAGGAGGAGTAGCACCGGAGAAGTTGTTAGGAGTGTTAGTAGAATAAGACCACATGCTAAGTGGACGAGCTGGACGAGCGTTAGGTAATTGATCCATGGAGATCGAACTAGACATGGCGAGAGGGTTAGGAGTAGGAGATGACTCTAATGCAGCAAGAGCTCGGGTGCGTTGATCGAATTCTGAATTTCGATATGTTCTATTTGAGCTAGAAGGAGTCGATTCACCTGGAATAGACATGATGATTGCTTGAAGTTGATTTGATTAATGTAGACTTAGTTGCAGATTGAATGATAAACTGAGATGGTCGTTCGGTTATTAAAGTGGTAATATGTAAGATAGAGTAAATTCAATCTTGGATACTTGATAGTGAAGTGTTGATCTGATTCATGTTTGTTGGAGTATGTATACTTGAATACTTGATAGGATTGATTGAGTGTTCCTTTTGATTTCTTGGTGATTTGCTTGGATCGATTGTGAGAATTGAAATTGAAATATCTTGAGATCTCATTTGGATCTTTGTAGGGTTCGGTTCACTACAACTGCACAGATGTTATGATGTGAATTTATCCATTTCAACCGTTACCAACCCATTCCATTCCTATCCAACTATCTCCATCTCAATCACTCAACTCTTCAACTCAATCCTCATCATCCCATCCATATCTTTGTCAATCTCATTGATCAGATCCATATACTCAAACCCTTTCATAAAGTTAAACTCTCAAACTTGATCAATAGCAGATATATAACTGTTGACTTCAGCAATCCAATCATCAAGTCTCATTTAAGACTATCAAGAAGAATGGTTTCATAGAATTCAAAAATTATCCAAGAATTCAAAAATCCCTAGACTGTCATCAAGTATTTTTGATAGTACATGGTGATTTGTACTCCGAAATGTTAAGATGAACATTCCATATTTCCTCTGAGATTCTAGGTATCCATGTGGAATCAAAATATCATCTAACCCACACACAATGTTGAAGGTAATTCAATAATATATTCTGGGCGGACAATCAATTTGAGGATCAGAAATGATACAAAAATTCAATTAGTTGATACAAAACAGAAAAGGGCTGAGCCAGCGCTGAAGTAATGGGTGTTTTTATAAGCTTAACTAAGCCCCTCTCGCGCGGCTGCGTCCGCGCCCCTCGAAGAGGGGCTTACAACGGACTCGTACTTTTCGGCAGGAGAGCTCCAAGAATTAAGTCCCTTTATGTTGTTTTTTGGACTTCTCCTCAAATCCTCACCGTAGAAATTTGTGAGCTGCTGGTATGTTTTTCTTCATGCCTTTGTACATTTGCTGGCACAAGTTTCATGAGAAACAGATAGCTCTGCATGCTTTGAGAGCTGTGTCAAGAATGGGCCTTACAAGGCCTTACGTCCTCTTGTAATGGCCTAAGCCTTCTTCATATGCCTTGGATACGAAATTTGAAAGCACTTAAGCACACATATTACCAAATCTTCATCGCATATTTATAACACTTCCCCTCAAGGTGAGACAAACTATGAGGTACCAGATCATGTACAAAAGTGTGAAGAACAACATACGAGAAACTTGAGAAATTCTACGGTGAGGGCTCGAGGAGAAGTCCAAAAAACTACTTAAGGCACCTTAATTCTTGGAGCTCTCCTGCCAAAAAGTACGAGTCCGTTGTAAGCCCCTCTTCGAGGGGCGCGGACGCAGCCGCGCGAGAGGGGCTTAGTTAAGCTTAGTGTTTTTATATACCGCTTGCATGCTTTACAGTCTGCTGGAACGTGTTTTGCCATGATGGGGCGGGCTGAACATTTGAAGCATAAATACCTTGATTGATTTCTCAATTGTAGACTCAAAATCTCACTCAATGACAGAGCCGCCCCAGAAGAAAAGGTAAGATCCAAAAGCAGGGGGCTTGCATTCATCAGGGTTTATTGGTTGATTTGAAAATTATAAGGGTAAATAAAAGGTCTAATGAGAAAGGACAAAAGAGAGAGAGAAAGAAGAAGAAATCGTACATTGTGTAGCATATATATAAAAAAATGTCAACACTAAAGAATTGCAAGAGAAAGCGATGAGAGCGGGCAATGAAGACAACCAGAAGATCAAACATATATATTTCCTCATGAACAAAGGAAACAACTGTTCTTGAATGGTATCCTTTTTTTGAAAACCAATGCTTCTCATATTATCACAGCCTAATGATGGCCAATTTTTTGTAAAATAAACTCATATCCCTACATGATAGTGTTAAAGGAAACCTACATGAAGAATCAGAAAGGGGAAAAACGATAATACCATCCGAATGAACCAAACCAAATTTTGATAACAGGAAAATGAAAGATTCGAAATTCCACTTTCCACAACACCGATTCTCTTCGCTATGCTGAACAGGTTGAAAGATCACTGGCTTCAAGCCGTCAGGCCGATTGAGGAGTCAGTACTACTAGTCACAAATGCTCGTACATCCATGAGATCATTGAAAGCTTGTTCTTCAGATTTAGCGCCCGCGGTATTTTCGGAAGTTTCAAGGGGAGTGAGAGATTGGGGATCAGATGGAGAGCTGCTAACAGCCGTGGACTTATTGACAGTGAGAGCTGAAGGGGATGTGGAGGACGAGGGATGATCCGATGATGCAGGACTACGGCCGTTGACGCTGCTTGGCGCAAGAGATTGAGACCCGTTCGGCGCATTATTTGAGGTCGAAAATAAGTGTGGTGAAATTCCTGAGGGGCTAGAGTTGCTAGCTGCGTCCAGCGAGGTTTCCCCACTGTAATTGTTAGAGGCGATATCAGTGTTACCCTGAACACTGGATGCTTGTTGTTGTGCGATGGCAAAGGCTTGTGAAGTTGTGGGCGAGAATAAGAAGTTGTCACTGCCTGTTGTTGAGTTCGGTATTGTGTTGGTAGCATCGGAGCTAGAAAGCGAGGTAGAATTAGCGCCTTCATTGAGTAACTGCTGTTGATCCATAGTTTGGTCATTGACGCTGTAAGACTGGTACGACGACGCATCAGGACCCAGATAGATCATTGAGTTGGATTGTTGAGACTGAAGCTGTTGGGTAGCGTCAGTAGAGGTTGCATCGACCGAAGCAGCAACAGCAGCTACATGTAGAGCAACTTTTCTAAGGACCTTGAACCCCAGCCACTCATCGAAAAACAGGTTGACGATCTGGAAGGATCCAAAGCTTGCTGCCGAACGCAGAGTGAGATCCCTGATGAGCTGCGAACTGACGAAACACCATCTAACAAGCAAGGATCGGGGACTCAAAGAGCGTTCGCCATCTGGGTTTGGTTGCAAGCATCGGTCATAGGTACACTCGGCGAATTGGATGAAGTTGTCGATTGTCACATTCGGGTTTCCGATCACTTGTCGAAAGTCATCAAAGCAGTGCCCAAGGGTATCGTGTTGACAGTTCGTGACCAGGGCAGCTTGATTGCGCACGGCTTCGAAATCGATACCGTCCCACGCTTCTACCATATCCTTCAGGCTTTGAGGGTTAGCGAAGATGCCGGAAAGCGCCTGTGCAAGTTGGCAGATTCCAAGGTGTCGAACGATCAGGTGACCGAACCGAGCTGCTAGTTCTATCTTGGGCCCGACAAAGTTTGCAGGGTAACTCTCCAAGGCTACTATGATGACCTGCTCCATGCTTTGGGCCAACTGCCGAAGCGACGCGAAGGCTTGTTGAGGCATTGGGCTCAAAGTTTGGGATTGAAGGTAATCGAGTATTTGCTAGATAAAGTATTGGAAGGTCAATGTCGTAGGTCGACAAAAGAAACGGGATCATTGAAGCCATCAACACTTACGTCGTACAGGACAGCGTCAGCTCGGTACACGAGACTCATCAACGCAGGATGGCCTACAGATTGGCGACTTGGGGCATCGAGACCAGACCAGAAGTTTCTCAGATGGAGTTCAAACTTTCATACCACCAGCGTCAGTGAGGGAAATTGAAAGACAAAATGGACTTCAAAAGCGCGAGACAAAACTCACTTGGTCAAACCGGTAACTCTTGACTGAGTCGAGTAGACTGCGCGAATGCTCAAGGTAGAGGTTCCAAAATTCTCTGGCTTGATGAGCGTCCAAGTCACCTGCACTCGGTTGATTCAGAGCTTCCTCCAAGTTGGGAAACGGAATCGATTGATCGACTTGATTTCCACTGCTGTCTGCTGAACCACTGTTCATATGCCTATTGGCTCTAGTATCAAGACGAGCCAGAGCCGCCATGCTGGGACGCGCTGTTCGAGGGGTTTGAGGCTGAGAAGTGTCGGCGTCCATGGGCATCAGACCGCTGTGCGGAAGGCCCAAGGGGTGACTGGAGCTGCAATCTGAGTCAATGTCATCATCAGCAGACGATGCCGTCTGACTTCCATGATGCGAAGGTTCTGGTTGTTCATTCCGACTCAAATTCAAGAGAATTTCGGCTTCCTTGGCAGTGGCGGGTCTGATACCACAGTCTGATGAGGGGAAAGGACATTGAGCCAATGGTAACAAGATATGTGGGCGGAAAAGGACTGACAATGATATTTGGAGTTCCCCCTTACGCCCAATCGCCGTGTCTTGATGTTTGGGAAGCACTGACGGACAGCTTTCCCAAAACTTGCCGAATCTGAAAAGATATGGGTTCAGTGTCAAATTGAACAGGAAATCTCATGGCAACGTACTGATGGGTTTGATGTCATACATTTGACAGATCCTGAGATACGAGCCATATAGCCCTTGTCTGGACACGTTACCATCAGTATACGAGATGTAGGAGGAATTTAGCCTATGGATGAAGAGAGGCGATATGATTGAATCAGAATCGATGCATTAAAGCGAGACGATGAGCTATAATACGCACCAGGCTTGAACAAATGCTTGACGAGCGCGATCAGATGCAGACGTTGTGACAGCGGTTCGAATGTGATGTGACAAGGCTTCATAGGTTTCAGTGCTATCGAGAGTCATTCGACCCATCTGAGCGCCCATTCCACCCACTAGGGCGGTATTCACCATTCCTCCACCCACACCGACCAAGCCGCCCGCAACCATACCGCCAGTGCCCATGTTGACCATCGTGGATCCGAATGCGCCACCATGACCGTGGACGTTCGCGACAGCAGCATAAGGGTCCATGAAGGCACCAGAAGCGCCAATTCCAGTTTGATGGGGTGGTTGCGATTGTGAAGGGTTTCCACTCCAATCAGTAACAGAGTTTTCACGTGACTGACTACGCAAGATTTCCGCAATTTCATCTTCCGTGCTGGATGGAGTATCGCTGGCAATACTACTACTACGCATCAAGCTTGATGTACCACTTCCTGCGCTGTGCGCCTCTTCACCATTCCATGTTAGATGGTCAGTCTGAATGGCATAAGGAGAGGAAGCGTGCGCTCGAGCACGACGCAGCATTTGAGCTTGAGACACTTTGCGACCCCCAGGGACCCCAACGCTCAAACCACCCACACCGTCGGGTGAGTTGCCCTCAGAGATCGCAGCCGAAGAGACTGAAGAAGTTGAAGACACGCGGTGATGCTGGTGATGAGGATTGTTGGTGTACTGATGAAAGGAGTCGGCCGAAACAGGTACGCCGCCAAAGGCTGCACCGCCTGAAACACTACCAGCATAAGATGCCGGAACGGCAAATGCGTCATGTCCGAATGGGTCTGAGCTAGAGTAGTTGTGTGTATCGTGAGTGGGGTGCCCGGAGCTGAGAGAGCTCAAGGTACTGGCGTTGCTGACATGCCGTTGGTGATTGGATTGCGGATGCGATTGTGTATTGTGATGGTGATCAAATTGGTGGTGAGGGAGTTGAGACATCATTGTCTGGGAAGAATGGTTGCCACCGAGGTCCTGACCAGATGGTGCGTAGTATTGGGTCTGATGGGTATCAATTAGTGAAGCAGTCTGGCTATCGAATTGGGAACCGAGAGCGGTCTGGTATGGATGGTGTAGCAATGAGTCTTGTTGCTTGGTAGTAGGTGTGATGGAGCCAGGGGCGTAGAGGGGAACAACGGTGGAGAGTAGAGTAGGTTTTGAAGCAGTTGTTGCCATGTTTATACGTTTCTAACGCTGAGCGCAACACACCTGGTTGGCTGGAAGTCTAAGCACGTGAGAACGCTGATTAACTGGGTGGGAAAAAGGCTGAGTGGGCATAAACGAGCCAAAGAGAAAGACGATCCAATTCCTGGGTTTCAACTGATTCGGTCGATAAGGAAAAGTAAGGAAATCAATCAGTAGACTAGAACGACCGAGCTGGGCGGGAATGAGATCTGGCGGTAATAACATGAGCAAAGGTCGCAAAAGTAGAGTACTGATCAAATTCAATCACATCGATGTTAACAAGAACTTGGGGACTGATGACCCCGCTGCATGAAAAGTCAAGATAGATCTCGCTCCCCGAGTGGTAAGGGAACGATGGAGAGTAACCATGCCAGACAGAATGGCTTTCAGTCAAGGGTGGTCCAAAAGCGCAATTGAGCGGGGATGTAGGTGTGAAGATGAATGCACAAAAATTGAGAATAACCATCGAGAACGACGACCGACAACAAGCTTCTCTCGGAACGACAGTTTTCTTTGGTCGTTGGGTGCCAACATGCAACTCAGATCGCCTCATGTGCTCCGACTCTTGGGTGGCGGTATGTTCAGCACCAACCGAAACGTGATTTGACCATGTTTACGTGTGCCTCTCATCAGAGGTTAGCCAAAGCACGTATGAGACGGGAACCATGAGAACCTCAAGGTCTACTCCAGTGTGATCACTGCATGTAGTGTTGATGGAGCAGCACGATTGGAGATAGAGAAAATGGTAGACAAAGAAAAATAGAGAAATTACACATACGGGGTCGCACAAATTAGGCTGGGTAAAAAGATCCAACAAATCGAGACGAGGATGAATTGACGCAGACGAGCTGAGAAGTCCGATTGGAGGATAATCCCAGAACAATGTACGCCGAGGTTGTAGTGAAGTTGAGTCCTGTGACCGAGACCACCAGTGGTAAAGATTGAGAGATATTTAGAACAACTGAAAGCACTTTCGCTCGAATGCTGCTCGCTTGTTCGGGGGCTGAGTGAGAGGTGTGATAAGTCCATGATTGAGGCCAACATGGCAGATTGAGGGTAGCGGATCGATGACCGATTCGAAGAACGTCGCGTGTGAAGGGCAAAGTGCAAACGTGGAGGGAGGGAGAATATATGAATGTAAGTCAATCAGAGTCCCATCCAAGATGAGAGTGTGGTTGACCGAGACTGAAGTACAGACAAGAATGATTGATGGAGAGAAGCGTTGATTCGCTTACCGACTAAATCGCTATAAACAAATCACAACAACGCACGATAACGAAACCAGTTCCGTAGCAACAGTAACTCGGCCCTGGAGTCGGATATCCAATGATCAAAGGCGGGAGTCAGTAGAGAGATAAATAAAGACCGTGAGTGAGTCAGGAGAGATATGATCAGGGGTCACCTTGTGAACGGTCACTAGAAACCAACGATGTACAATGCAAGGAAGAGGAAGAAGGATAAGTTAAGAGAGTGGGCTGAGGTAAAGAAGCTGAAAATGTTTCAGTTTGTATTTGTGTTTGCTTGACGATGGGGAATGAAGACAACCAAAAGACAGGAAGAGGATGAAGTTGAGAAAACCGTTATGTTTGAGTTGAACGATATAAAGATAAAGCAGGGCTTTAAAAAGGAAGATAAGAGGAAAAATATGATTTAGGTAGGATTGGGAATTGGATTTGGTCGATAGTTTTTACAAATTCATTAGATATCTTCCAAGCTACTACAACACGGTTAATACTTCTGATTTTGCACCATCCACTTCTGGATAGCACCGGTGCTGGATAGTTTACCAAAGGAATTGAGAGATATCTGATTCGGATGTTTGTACGAGCTGAGGAAGAATAAAATTATCAACGGACGAAATGATTAGGAATTTATGCAGCCAAGGCGATGGTAGGTAGGTCAGTTTGTATATGCACCACTTCATCCACATCAACAAAAAAAATCATGTATGACCGCCATGATATCAAAATATCATATCCCTTCAAGCCACCACAGCCAATGAATATCCACATTCCTCATTAACATTCCAATCAGCCGCACTCACAATCGCATTTCATCATCAAAAAAAATTACCACCATGACAACACAGAGATCGCTCTCTCTCCATTTATTTCGAGCAGATAAACATTTCAGGAAAAGGAATTAACGAATTTACAAACAATGAACTTGATCATGAGCTTGTGTACCTCAATTTCAAAGCGCGTCATTTAACCAACCGGCCAATTGGTCAATGACCCTTTTAGCTCACGGACAACAATTTTCTCATGACGAAGACTTTTTCCTCTTGGACCTCCTCCTCGGCTGGTTTAAACACGGTAGGACACGGTGGATGGGGAGGGGGAGCATGTCTAGTTCTCATTTCGATTCCTTCTTGGTGTAGGTGCATTGTGCATCACGGCTGAAGACTGTTGGCGGAAGGGAGACTGATGATCTCTCGGTGAATTAGAGAGTCCTGATCATGAGTGAAATGCCATGCAATTTGATGACAAATGCTAAAGGTGAAACTGATTTGACAAGTTTGGAAGCCCTTCTTTGGCTAGGAAATCGAATTCAAACAAGTCATGCAACTCGAACTCTACCTTGATGATTTTCTTTCCGACGATCAGCGAACTCAGCGAACGCAAAATCCAAACTCGCGGCCTTGCAGAGAGCGGATACCGCCTTGCATGTATTCTGAGATACGATTTCTTGATCCAGGAGTCGGACTTTTTTAAGTTTAGAGTTGGACATAGGTAGTTCGAGATGGTGCTGCCATCTAGAAAGAAGGAAGGGTAACTTGAGTCTATGATTGACGATATGAGGTATGAATGGATATGATATCCTGATTGTATTTTATTGATTGATCTGCATCTTTTACAGGAACCTATCACAATTTGAATATGTCCCTTTCAACATGTACCCCGATTTCCAATCAATATCTGGCAAGATTGAACAAACGCCTCAAAAGAGCAAGATTCCCAGCGAGGGATATCCAAGTCCACATCACAGAGAAGGTCGCATTCGACACTGCATTGCCACTTTTATGCTTACCTTTTTTCTGACCCTGACCACGACCACCTCCTGAAGCTATCCCGCGAGCTATCCCACTTCCACTACCACCTTCACTACCATGACCTCCATGACCACCTCCATGACCACCTCCTCCACCTCCATGACCTCCACCACCACCTCCTCCACCCTTCAAGATTCGTGCATGAGCCGATATCATCTTGTATTTTTCAGATTCTACATCGAGATGACGATCATGCGGACCTGGAAATGTCCTTGACGATTCTTCCGAACCCATAAATGAATTTTCATATCTCTCTGGTAGAGGAGGTTCTAATGGTGGCTGTAATGCAAGGTTTTGGCCTTCTTCTATTCTTTCGTGCATCTCAGTCAATGAGCTTGGCCAATTAATTGGACTAGGATGGTGAGCTGAAGCACCTTGAAAGGCGACTTTGAAATTTGCACCCGGTTCGGCTACTCTCATGATCGCTGCTGAGGTTCGTGAGATGATTCCGAAGAGAAATACAGAAAGTAACGCAGAGGACTTCATTGCGTTCTTCGCTAATCAGGGGTTGAGGACTTGAGATCCTTGGAGGAGAGGAGGCGAAGGAGAAGATATGAGTACAAGAGATTGATTGTTGTTCAAATTGTGTGGAATTGACAGGAAACAAAGAAGATGGATTGGAGAAGATGAACTGACTACAAGAATGAGCGAACTTCTCTAGCCGGAAGAGAAACAGGCGTGGATGTTCAGAAACGGATACCAGTTTCAACGATGTATAGTTTGTGCTTGAAGGGTTGATAGAGATAAAGCCTTGGATGACTTGAATCTCTTGAGGTTATTACGCATGATTAGATTTATGATAGCGTGATGAGAAAAGTCAACTTTTGACATACGCTTGAGCAAGAAACCTTGAAGAACAACAAAAGATTTTGAGTGTCAAAGTTCCAAGGTTTTGATGAAGAGTCTAGCAGTAGTGGGGAAACGAGTAGTACGACTAGATTTCTAGATGGAAGATATTGATAGCTTTATGCGCGCAAAATTCAAAGATCCAGATGCAAGTTGGGGGTCAAGAGAACGAGGAATTCGCTTTTGTTTCCCAACTCAATATCCAAAACCAGAAAGAAAGAATTTGGTCCGCCCGAGCTTCTAGTCAAAACAGAAAGCACCTATCGTGTCTAACAGAGGATGTAGTGCATCTTACGCCGTGTGTCATGACTCTTAGTCTGCCGGATTAAAGTACAAGACAGCACTTATCAACATATAGATATTCTCGAGAAGATCATTCAATCATCTCAAAATATGTTTGAACACGAATCGATTAGTAACTTATTTTCCTATGAACATGGCACCTAATCTAATCACTTTAACAGTTAAGTCTATCAATTTTACCGAATTCCAAACCGGTCGCCAAATAGTGCGATCCTTTTTAATTATTCTACTTTTTTTTGCAATGAATTCTTACTCTGATTCTGATTCTTTTTGATTTCCTAGGGTTTAGGATTTGTTCTAATCAATTTTGCAAGTTTATTAATCTTTGAACCAAGTTTAGAATGTTCAATCAAACCAAGTCGTCTAAGCTCAATTTTCCAATCTTTCATTGGATTATGTTCTTCAAATCATCGTTGCGGTTTCTCATAGTTAAGGTGAATAGGTGTAGGTAACAGCGTTATTTACTGATTGGAATATCGGAATGACAGGTGCTATGTAAATTATTTCTGATGTATTGAACGGGTCGGGTTCTTCAAGCTTGTGTCTATCTCTTGGTGGTAAAATGACATCATCATTTTGTTTACCAAGTTTTCCGTTCATCCATCGAAATTCTCTTTACCTTTCATTCTCGATAGTTCCAACCTAGTTCAAGAATATTAACTATTATCATATCAATAGTTTGATTTTTTGAGTCCCTCCCTTCCCTCCCTTTGTATTGTTGTGGTCAAAAGTGGTTTGTCCGGTGGTGTTGGATAAGTGGTATTAAAAATGTATCAGTTGAAGTTTATCATTTATTATTTTTACATTATTATTTTTATTATTTTTATTTTTATTTTATTCTTATTTTATTTTTCGTTTCTTCTATCTTTATTTTATTTTAGAATATTGTTATGTTTGCGTTGTTGCTTATTCTGTTCTTTTTCATTAGGGGTTCTCAAAGTAGGCCCGGTTTGTAAAAACCCAGTTGACCCAGTTGACTTTTTGGCTGTGATCTGTCAACAAATGTCAACTCGATACACAAGGTTACTGCCAAAAAGCAACCGGGTCAACTGGGTTTTCTTGAAACCGGGCCAACTTTGAGAACCCCTATTATTTTATATTCTTTATTATTATTTACAAGTGTGCGAGTTAAAGGTCTTATTTCAAGTTTCTTACAAAGTTGTGGTTCATTTTTTATGTTGTAGTAGTTATGTGCCGCTAGCCACCCCGTAGGGTGTTTGTTGTTGGCAGGTCAATTCACAAGTTTAGCCCAGTCACTTTTGCAGTTCCAGTGTTATTTCCGTGAGTACCATGGAGTTATTTCACACATTTCAATTTCAATGATTTCATCCTCCCTTCTGGACTTCGATTCAACAACCAATTTCATTAGGATCTGATTTAGTAATTCATTAAGTTACCAAATATTTCAATGGTCATTCTGATGTTTCATCAGGTATGATAATTGGATCAAATCGACAAATCATTAACCAACTTAGATTTTTACAAAACACTCATGGTGCTGTACCTTTTCCACTTGATTGTTTGTTATCTCAAAGATGTTTAAAAACTTTAGAAATTAGAATGTTAAAAAATGGTGATTGATAAACCACGCCGACATGAAAACTGGTTTGACACCGGTTTTTGTTAGCTTGGATTAATCAGGAAGCTATACTGTTCGGAAAAGGCTGGGGAACCTGTAGAGTGCTCCAAAGGCTTCAGAAACATTCTGAAGCCGGTTTTTGGGTGTGTACAAGTCGGTGTAATCCCCTTTGGATTATTTTGAAGCTCTGACGCCGGCCTGTTGGAAATTTGACACCGTAAATGATGAATAGAGATTGAGTGACCAAATCTCAAGGTCTTTTGTTGGTTTTTCTTCACTCCAATATTTGTGACCTCACTTTTGAGCTTGAATAACCAGGATAGCGTGTATTTATCACTCTTCAATCTGATCCTTGTCGCCGATTTTGAACCGTATTCACGACAGACAAGCCTTAGAGATCATCTATCATTCACATTTCCTGCACCCCCAAGCTCTAAACCAACTGAAACACACGACTCTCACTCCTGAAAGCTGGGTCCGTACCATTTTGATTCCCGAGGTGTCTTTAAGAATGATCGTGGACGATCTCAAGGTATGCATTTTGGATCCTCAAGTTGAAGATACGCTCGAGAGATCTCAAGCATATGGGATGGCTGACAAGGACCACTTTTGAGATTTCACCACATTTGATTGGTTCATGAGTGTCCTTATTGAAGGTCTTCCACTTGCTGGAAGCAATTACCGAGGCTGATACAATGTTTATGGATGAAATGCAAAACGATCATCAATATACTTATAACATTTAACAGTCTCTACTTGCCCTTTCTGTTACTTTTGTTTTTGCTCCGCATGTGAGCTTGAACTCTTATGATGACTCATCTGATGATTGAATATTCTCGTGCAAAAGCGTCATACTCTCAATGGCACTGTACGCGAACATATGTAAGGAAAGTAACCATTGGTGGACTCTTGTGGCATGCAAACAAGCCAAAAGATCTACAGGATATTGCCGCGATACCTGGACTCGGCGTCACACTTGGGAAGTCGGCATCAGGAGACGGGCATCAGAGCTTTAAAGGGATGATGCCGACTTGTACACACCCAAAAAACGGCTTCAGAATGTTTTTGAAGCCTTTGGAGCACTCTACAGGTTCCTCAGCTTTTTCCAAACTGTATAGCTTCCTGATTAATCCAAGCTAACAAAAACCGGTGTCAAACCAGTTTTCATGTTGGCGTGGTTTATCAATCGCCTAAAAAATGGTGAAAATGCATTCAAATTATCTAAATGGTTAAAACAGATTGCATTAGAAAAATTAGGTTGGAATGAATACATCACTCAGGGTTGGTGCTCAATTAACCAAGTGGAATATGGTGTTACGACCGTATGAGAGAGGACTTGATTGTAGAAGCATAGACAGCACTCCTGTTTAGGAATACATCTAGGCTAGGTTCAAGTCAAGATGAAAGGTAGAATCATATAGGTCTCTAGTTGATTCAAAACTAGAAATCATTCTCCCCTTGTAATAATTTCTATTTCCATCTTACCATTTCATACTCGACTATCACTAGTCAAGTAGAAGACATCAAGTTGGAGGACCCTGGAAAGCTCCTGGAGAACAAACCGTCCTGAGGGGGTTTTCGGATACCGGTGTTTTGTGAAGTCATGTCACATGGTACCAGAGATGTGACAGGTGCAAAAGATGCGCCTCAACGAGGGCTATCAGATGGTACACATGTCTGACCCTGAACATGACTGGTGGCTTGGGAAATGTGTGATTTGTAACTTTTGCCCCCCCAGACCGACGAAAATCCATACCGGCTCGGGTCGGGTACTTACATATGGATATCTCGGTGATTACACGTGGTACAAAACTGAAAGTATATGTAATCGAGAGCCCTGATCAAGGCGCTTCTCCTACCACCGAGAAATCCATGTTAACCCACCTCTCCTCGGGGCAAATAGTGAAAGTGTGAGGGCCGGGGCCGGAATGGATCGAGGACGGTTTGTTCTCCAGGAGCTTTCCGGGGTCCTCAAGTTGGACGTTTTTTCCTCTATTATTCTACAAAATTAGTCATTTTTTATTTTTAAATTCTCGTAAACCTTCTTTCCCTGCCTGGAAACTGAGTGTTTACCCAAGTCCAAGGTTCAGGAGTATCCCACCCACCTCATAACGTATAAATTCACATTCAGTCGTTCTTCCATCGAGTTCTCTTTCATTTCAGTCATATCTGGGTCTTTCAGGAATACAGAGATCTTATCATCCGCTGTTTATGGAGTTGGAATTGTTTAATCAGAACAGAAATGTTACCAAAGAATTACAAAATCTTCTCAAGGTGTACAGAGATGATGGGGGCAGCACCACGTATGATATGCGCACCCTCAGGCTGCATTTTGCTCAGTTTATTCCGTTTAATCACCCCAAATTCCATTGCCACTTCTCAGCTTTTGCAATTGAGGCCATCAAGCTGGATAGACAAAATTGGAGATATTGTTACTATGAGTCATTCACGCAAAGCAGATACGTCAAAAGTTAGTGTATGCTTTGTAGTGTAAGATGAAGAAGAGTTTGAATAGATGAGGATCAAACTCTTCAGACTCATAGGTAGCTTTATAAGTAAAACAACAACAGAAGCTAAGAGTTAGTCAAGCTGGAATAAAAGTAACCACACAACATATCAAATATGACAGTATTTCAAATAGCACGCTTTGAGATGAGTCAGAAACAGAAAGAAGATCACACTACACAACATTGAGAAAAGAGAAAAACATAACACTTTATTCCAACATCCCACAGTTACCCCATTGGAGGTCAACCTCCACCTCCAGAGATGTCTATTGAGGAAGCCTATCCATTTGTCTACCCAGCCCCACTGGCTAAGAGGGTACCGCCAGGGCGTCAAACATTGCCAGAGAGCGACAACAACAACAACAACAAGGAGATGCCAACAATAACTCAAATCATAGGAGTAAGAGGTGTCGTCGTCGCTCTTCCAGCAGCTCATTGGATAGTTCCTCTTCCTCAAAATTGAAGTGAGTGATCTCTTTTTCTAAAGAAGACAATGACTCCAGCAATATCCTACAAGATGAAGCCAAGAAGATTTGACATTTACGACACAAGTACAAAGACAAAAAGTTATCAAAAGCCGTGGATAGTTTCTGTTATTTGCGAAAACAGCCACACAAGTTTCCTAATGCTCTTGTCTGGGACTTACTTCAGTACAACTACATCAAGCTGGAGAAAATCAATGCAGGAGTCATTCCCAATGTCACCAATCATGTGTCAAAGTCAAAAGACAAAGATGCGGCGGCTAAGATCAAGCCAAAACCCTTCACGGAGTCGGGAGAATGGAGAGAATCCCTTAGCATTCTATGGAAAGCGCTATCATTGGCATTTGTGGGTCTTCGGTTAGAAGTCTTTTCGAAATACTTCCTCCCTTCCATATCAAGTTCTTATAATTTCTGTTTTTTCTTCTTTGCCTTGGTTTACTTCATAACAATCATTCAAGTTAAACACAAACAATAGAATCAGATTAAACCTACAGATCGACAGATTCAACTAATCAGAAAATCATAATCATTCGTCTTAAAGGATCATTCATCTTATTCATTAAGGGTACTCAAAGTAAGTATGTACGTGTACATACTTTTTGCTATATACTTTTTTTGGCGGGGAAGGCGAGGCCAAAAGTATATTTTTTTTCTTTGTCCCCGCCAAAAAAAAGTATGTAGCGAAAAGTATGTAGCGCTACATACTTTGCTTTGAGTACCCTTATTGTATATTCATATTAAAGGAGAACAATAAAACTTGACCAAACCTACACTTTCAACCTGCACAAATGCAGATTTTAACCAGCCAAAGTTACATATTTGCAATAATCATTTTCTATTTTCTAATGGCATCTGTTTAGTTGCTTGATCCCACTGGCATATCATCACAATTTAATTTGTCTTTCCACCATGTGTTGAATTCATTCAAGGAGTTGCATTTTGGTCTCGTGAGCACATTCTCTTATCGCAGCACACCCCAACCCAAACGATACAACATGCAGACCACCTCATTTGTATACCCTCAGTCTACCTACATACTCTTCCTGTCCCCGCTGGGTTCCATTGAGTCTACTGCGTGCTTTTGGATAAGTATATCCAAATTCAGATTTCTGTCCATCTTTTTGTGATCCTGATCTCAACGGCTGGTTCCTCATCCTTGCTACCCTCTCCAACCAGTCAAAGTTTAAATTTCCCTTGGTTCGCGTAATCCATGGTCAGCTTTCTGTGAATTGAATCTATTGTATTGTTGTGTGTCTATGTAGTGGGAGAGTAATCTTGATTTTGTCGGGTGATGACTGATCGTTTCTGTAGTCAACTCATAGCAGTCGTAATTTGATCGATTTCACTAATCTATCAAAATCGGAATCATCTTCTCATTCAACCTTATCCACTGACCTTATCTCCACTGGAACGATCTTCTCAAGTAAAGTAAGTGAAACTGATCAATAGGAAGTCCTTCTCATTCATCTTACTGACCCTCCCTTTGATGTTTCTAGGATCTCGAACTTTAGAATTTGAGACAATGACAAACAATCAAAGCATCAAAGAATCCAATCAATTTTAAAATTGCAATCTATCATAGACGATCCGACTAATGCAAAACATTCAAAAGAAATCATACACAAGTTCATATTATCATTAGCCTCATCGCCTACATTGATCCAATTGAAATCAAACAATGCATTAACAATTCTACTCATAAATGAATCAAATGAGTCTACCACTTTTTTATCCTGTTTGATTCCAAATTGATTAGATTCTATTAACCTGATTGTTGCATTGCTTTCTTCAGGTTCTATACTTCAAATCTCTCCTAATCTTGGACGCGAATGTGATCAATCAAGTAGATCTTTCTGTTTATTCATTTAACATTTCTTCTTCAAAATCAAAATCAAAACTTTCACAATCAACTGAGTTCAATGTTACTTTCAAAGTCTCCAGGTTTTTGGCTTTGGCGAATAATCATCAATTGGTTAGAGAACATATAAGTACTGAATTGAACAATTGACTAATTTAGGCTATTGATTTCAGGAGTTCAAATTGGACTGTTCAGAATCAATAATCAAACCTCAAGGTACAACTTATGAGGGTATTCATTCTCTCACTTACATTCAAACTGACAGTTCCTGGGCCATTTAGGTGAGTTTTTCTTTGGTCTTAGTTCAATTCCGATCACATTTAAATCGATCTCAGCCTCCTAAAAGCTTTAGTAATCTGAACTAATTCATCTTCATCTTATTTATTCTACTTCACCTAACAGGATACACTCATCATCATCAAGCTTCGAATCTTAATCTTGGACAAATCTTCCCTTGCACTTATTCAAAGTGGGTTGGCTGCCCTCTGTCTATGAAAACTTAATTTACATCGCCTCTGGCCCTCCTCAACATCATTCATCCTTTTTTTGCTGTGTGATCAGAATACCTGTTTTAGTTCCTATAGGTTATCATTGACTTTCAAATGAGTTGTAATCATAATTCTTGAGTTATTCAACTCAAGCAAGTTTTGTTTCTTTTTCAAACCAATCAGCACACATTACACATTTGAAGCTTCTTGACATCAATTTCCAAACAGCCAATGAAAAAATCAAATATAATGAAACCTAGAAAACCCTGCATTTCAACAGATCACTCAATCCAATCAATTGACTGCTACCTTGACATCAGGAATTGGCAAAAGTCTAATATCATGATTTGGCTCAATACCCACTTTGCCTTCTGTGTTAAGGAAATCTTTGTTAGGGTTGATATCATGACCTGACTTGGCTTCATTAGATCTTTGCTTTATGGATCTGACCTGAATGAATCAACTATGATATTTTGAATATTGTTACATCAAATCTTGACAGTTTAATTTGGATCTCATCTTTGTTGATATTCTCAAGTGAATGCACTAGATACTGACCATCCATGATTCAAATCAAATTACAAATCAAGTTGATTACAAATTTCAATTCACTGCTTTGAATATCTTGGAAGTCTTGGTCAGCTTACTGCTTATGTTGGTCAAATTTGTTTCTGAAATTCCGCCAACTCACTCTTCCTCCTTTGAATATATTAATTTACTTCATGAAATTTTGAGGACAAGAGTCTTGAACACATCTTTTGTTAACTTGATGGTGTGGACATAGCCACACATAGAAGGCTTTGTTAAACTAACATTCTTTGAGACAGAAGTGCACATTGCAACATTGCCTTGCAGAGGAATTATGGTCATATCTCCATTATCTCAATGATTTCATCATTGAGATTGCAGATATTATGCAAAACTAATCAATCATTATGACTACTCTTCTTGATGGTCTAAGTTTTGCCCAGTTTCTCAGTTCAATGCCACAAACAAGGTTTTTCTTTAAAAATATCTCTGCCATATTGTCCAGAGCTGACTCCCATCCACCTGACAGAGTATGAGATCAACCAGTACTTGAGGTTCCAATCAGTCAATACATGCTACAGTTAGCTTTGGTGATTGGAGGATGCAATAGGATTATCAGCCTGTCAACTCTTGACTTCAGTTGGTGCCAGTTTTAGACACAAAGTGCATCCAGCTTTTCAGAAGCCGGGAATGACTGGATTAAGATTCCATTTGATTCAGGCAAATAAAGATGAATGTTTGACAACCAGAAGATAAATCAACTTTGAAAAATCAAGTTAATGCTGAAACAACTAAATTTGGATAAAGTCAAATTATTATCACCATCAATTGAATAATATAACCATTGGCACCACCTTATCCATATCCATATCATTGAATGGGTATTGATATTGCCAGGGCCAATATATCCATATAGTTGGTGTTCATTTGCAGTTGTGTTATGCTTCAGTGACAAACTCAACGTTCACCCAAGTTGCATTGTGTATTGTGTAAGCATCCTGAACACATCACCCACTTTTGACATTAGGAGTGTTATTGACTACTCCCAGTGGTAGTGCTTTATTTTTTGGGAAGAAGACCCTGCTTTGTTGATCTGCATAGCCTGAGCAACCACACCTACATTTTATTTTTTAGCTGTACTATTGTTGTGTTGTCATAGACAACTATTTTTTATGTGGATCATTTCATAAATACTCCTCTATTGGCAAACAAAATAAAGCATGTTATAGATGTACACATGTTTCAATGAATCACCAAAGTAATGTTTTTATATCAGAGCTGCTTTTAAAGTTGCTCAAAATCTGAAACAAAATGGAACTCAATGTACTCTGACATGTGATCCGTTACAGGTTAGGGGTTAGGTTTAGGGCAAGGATATTTTCACATCACTCAGAGCCTGCATCATCACCTCCATTCAAGACCCCATGATCCCTCCCAATCCTTGATCCCACCAACAAGGACTCAAAAGCAGCATGACCTCCATATGTTCTGTGCCTTCCATTCCTTTATCACTGATTGCTGCAAGAAGAAACAGTGTAAAAATCCTTCTCAGATCAAGTTATTCACAAAAATAACAGTAAATCTTCTATTTGCCATATCTGATGACTGATATTGGCAATCTTTGATAACCCCAAAGTTTGCATCATTAGTTACACAAAGAGCAGTACTTATTGGTATACTGTAATAAAAGAGCTCAATGGCTCTCCTCTGGACAAGGAAAAAAACTCAAAACTTTTTGTCTTTGCAGCACAGAACAGGCAGAATATTAACAATGCAGAATTAGTGGGGTTTTGCCAGGATCATGGTCTGTAGTGTCTCTTTGGATCTGTAGTTAATTGTGCCAAACTGGCCAAAGTATTGGTAAGCATGTGAATTTTGTATTTGGTCTCTGCAGTAGAAAGCTATAATGGAGCGTCTACACTTTATGCTGAAATGAGTCTGCTATCAAAAATGACCCAATTGAATAGAAATTGGAGTATCTTGTTTGAACTCTGTGAACCACCCCTCAGTGATGGATCCAGTGTGACCAAAACAGCAAACCATCTTGAAAGGACAATATACTTGGGCTGGCATATTATTACTCATCATACATAAAGTGATCTCAATAAATTCTGAAATAGATTCTACTCCTCTGTAATGCAATCAATCGACCCTGAGGAAGCTTTCCTTCTCAAGAAAAATATGATCCAGCATATCCTGCAGTGTGCCCCATGAATTGAAGTGAGATAAGCCCTTTCTGTGAGTGCGGCGCCCGCCGCCCAATTCAGCTAGTCTTTTCCTATATGTTGATGTATAATATGATCTGCGCAAGTGCAGCCATGTGCCACGGCTTCTTTCAAGAAGTATACCAGACATCTTAAGTCGTTGGAAATTGTGTTTACCAGACGGGTGAGTAAAATGACAGTTCACTTATTTTCTTCTCATATGGAGAACCTTCATGTCAGGAGGTTCAGGATACATAACAGTTAGCATAGGTGACCATACTCACTATAACTTATACATATACATTCTTTCTCTCATACAATAACTAGGGAAGCAGACCATCATCACCTATGATGCGGAAATGCACAAGATTTTCGCCGCAAAGCCCTACCTATCCTT